TCGATAGACATAGACGGCCACCAGCAGAAACGCGTCTTCTTCTACGTTGTACCTGGCCTAACTTACGACGTGATCCTAGGAAAGCCCTGGTTAGAAGATGCCGACGTCACAATTTCGGCCAAACAAGGCTGCCTAGATATCGGCGCGTCAAACATCCGCGCATGGAACCACAAGAAAGCGTCATACAAGCCACCACTAATGAAGGCTACTCAGGTGATGGCTTCCGCATTCATGGCGGAGGTGAGAAGAAGCCGTAGGAAGAACAAAGGAGACGGTATTGCGCTCGACACTGGACTGTTCGCTGTTTCCATCGCCGACATTGAGAAAGCTTTGAAACCGCGCAAACGATCCGATCCAAAGACGAAGCTCCCACCCCAGTACCACCAATGGCTGAAGGCTTTCGACCATTTCCTAGCTGAGAAACTTCCCCCACATCGTAAAGGCGTTGATCTCCACATTGAGATTGAAAAGGATCAAGACGGAAACGAGAAGACCATTCCATGGGGTCCGCTCTACGGCATGAGCCGAGAAGAGTTACTAGTGCTTAGGAAAACTCTCACCGAGCTGTTAGACAAGGATTTTATCCGCGCAAGTAACTCTCCCGCAGCTGCACCCGTCCTGATGGTCAAAAAGCCAGGAGGGGGCATCCGATTTTGCGTTGACTACCGAGGCTTGAACAACATCACCAGGAAGGACCGTTACCCTCTGCCTCTATTCACAGAAACACTGAGAAATGTAGCTAAAGCTAAATGGTTCACAAAACTTGACGTTATCGCAGCCTTCCACAAGATCCGTGTGGCCAAAGGAGAAGAATGGAAGACAGCTTTCCGAACAAGATACGGCCTATTCGAATGGCGGGTTGCTCCCTTCGGACTAACAGGAGCACCAGCCGCATTTCAACGCTACGTAAATGGTGTTCTACAGGATTACCTTGACGACTTTGTTTCAGCCTACGTTGACGACATCTTAATCTACTCGTCAGGATCGCTTCAGGATCACAGAGAGAAGGTTGGAAAGGTTCTTCAACGCCTTATAGACGCTGGACTGCAGATTGATATCGACAAGTGCGAGTTCGAGACTAAACGAGTCAAATACCTCGGGTACATTGTGGAAGCAGAAGTGGGCATTCGAGTTGATCCTGAAAAGATTATCGCAATCCGCGAATGGGCTACACCAACGTCAGTTAAGGCTATCCGAGCATTTATTGGTTTTGCCAACTTTTACCGAGTTTTTATACCAAACTTCTCGGACATTGCTGAACCGCTTATCAACCTAACTAAGAAAGAGATGGTTTTTCATTGGGACGAGGCTTGCAATCAAGCATTTGAAACGATTAAGGAACTTCTCATTACAGCACCAATACTCGGCCATTTTGATCCAGAGAAGGACACCTTGGTAGAAGCCGACTCCTCAGGACATGCAACTGGCGGCCTATTGCTGCAGAAGGACAAGAACAACAACTGGCAACCCGTTGCCTACTACTCAAAGAAGCACTCACCAACAGAGGCCAATTATCCAATTCATGACAAGGAGCTTCTAGCTATTGTTCGTTGCTTAGAAGCATGGGCTCCTGAACTACGTATGGTTAGGAAGTTCACAGTTCTGACGGACCACAAGAACCTTCAATACTTCTACCGCGAACGACAGCTGTCTGAAAGACAAGTACGTTGGTCAGAGTTTCTCTCACGATTCGACTTCTCCCTGGAATGGAAACCTGGAAAGACTATGGGAAAACCTGACGCCCTGTCACGACGAGAACAAGACCTACCCGCCAACTACGACGATGAACGAATACGGTCTCGATTTATCCGTCTTTTCCAGAGCAAGCACTTGCAGAGTGTTCAAATCCAGTCCCTGTCGTCCGAGGAGATTGACTTCACAGAAGAGATACGCATGTTTGAGGACCAGGACATGCAAAATCTCTGGCACCGAAGCCGCCAAGAGGATGAGCTTTATCAGGAGCTCACTACGCTGGTAGCAAACAAGGAGCGGAACCTCCCTACCAAACTTCAGAAGGAGAAGTCAGTGAGTATAGCAGAATGCACCCTGGACGAGAGAGGCCTGTTGCGATTTCGAGACCGGATATGGATCCCTGACTGCGAACCACTTCGCACACGAATTATTCAAAATATTCACGACTCGCATATCACCGGCCATCCTGGACGAGATCTTACCTACTCAATCTTATCAAGGCAGTTCTTCTGGTCAGGTGTAGCAAGCGACGTGCGACGCTTTGTCCGTAACTGCGAGATTTGCGGGAGGAATACGATATGGAGAGAGACAAAGAAGGGCCTCCTTAAACCGCTACCGATCCCAGAACGTATATGGGGAGAACTTTCAATCGATTTTATTACGGACTTGCCGCCATCTGGACGCGATGACGCAACGAACTGCATGGTGGTCACTGATCGGCTGACAAAGGGAGTTGAACTGGAAGGCATGCACGATATCTCGGCAGAAGCAGTAGCACAACGGCTTTTAGAACGGCATTACCCTATTCATGGTATTCCAACGGCAATTACGAGCGATAGAGGACCACAATTCGTCAGCGATCTTTGGAGGCATTTCTGTAAACTCCTCAGCGTTGAGCAACGCCTGTCGACTGCCTATCATCCGCAAACCGATGGTGCAACAGAGCGAATGAACCAAGAGATTGAGAAGATGATTCGAATCTGGGCCACCTACACGCAAGAAAATTGGCTAGCACTTTTACCTATCGTTATGGGAGCAATCAACAATCGCGAGGCCTCATCTACTGGCCTAAGCCCCTTCTATTTTATGCACGGATATCACAATGAACCCATTCAGCTGGTAGAGGATCGAACTATTCAGGACCGACCAAAGAGAGACGGCGAAGCACTGGCAGAAGGCTTCCTTAAAAGACTCCAAGACGCAACAGAGTGGGCCCAAGCTGCGATCGCGATAACACAAGAGAAACAGCAACATCAAGCTAACAAGACAAGAACAGCAGCGCCCCAATACAAGGAGGGAGACTGGGTGTTTTTGAACCTTAGAAACGTGAAGACAACACGACCTTCCAAGAAGCTAGACTGGTTGCATGGAAAGTACAAAGTCTTGAGGCAGGTCAACTCCCACTCTTATCAACTTGACGTTCCGGGGAAGATCCATCCTGTCTTCCACGTAGACCTGCTTCGCTACGCGCCTAACGACTCTCTCCCATCGCAGAAGGTTGGAGACACTCAGCCAGGGCCTATACTTGTAGATGGAGACGAGTTATGGCTGGTTGAACGTATTCTGGGCGAACGCACAACAAGGCAGGGAGGGAAAGAAATCAAGGAGGCATATGTGAAGTGGGTGGACTATACTGAACCGACATGGGAACCTGTGAGTAACGTACTAAAGACTGACGCTTGGAGGAAATGGAGAAAACTACGCGCTAAAGGGAAAGGAGGGGGGTAATGTAACGGGCTGAGCCTCGAGTCACATGACTAGGCTGCTAGCCTAGTCGCTTCCCCGGCAACGTGAGGGCCGTGCGCCAACCCAAACAAAGCAGGCTCGCCGCTTGCGTCTTACCTTCTTTCTTCATCTTGACTGTAAATAGCATCTGGACTAGGTAGCTGGAATACAGTTCCTACAGACCGTTCACACATCTCCTCCATCGCCTCCACCACCAAAGACCACATCACGTGGCCGCAACGTCAACCTCCCACAAAAATTCAGATAGTACAAGTTAATCGCAAGTATCTAATTACTGCAATGCTATGTTTTTATTAATATTAAGCTATTGTGTGGTGTTGTACAGCTTCAAATTTGAGATCGCTAAGATGGTGTTCGCGGGGCATGAGATGAATCCGGGCACAAGGTGCACGGACACGTTATGGTCCGAGCTCTAGCTGCTGCCTTACTGCCGACCTCCCTCCACCTCCATAGAACAACAAGAACAATCACAATGATTTCAACTCGTTGCAACGAAGGTGATTCCGATACCTTAGCCGTATCAACACATAGCGTAGTGGGCGTAGACCTACGTTCTGACACGGATTAGTAGTTAGGTAGGTAACTACTAGCGAATCCCTGCTGTTGTATGTTTTTGCTATTTTTATTACTCCATCTCTATGACTCACATCTGTTGTATGCTTTAAAGGTTACGCAGTGGAGTTTTTTTGCGGTTTTGAGGTTGTCTTCTGCAGAATTACAGGATGTTGGTTGAGTTGGCCACTTCTGGAACGTCGCAGGTAGATAACACGAGCTCAGCTTCTTTCCATAGCCCTTAATCACGCAGATAATAACATGAGATGTGATTGAATTCTTGCTCAACGTGGGATGTCCCATTCATTGAAAGTGCAGTATCTTTTCCGAGACGATCCGCGGCCCTGGCTGGAATGGCAGATTATGGACACGGGCCCGCCCTTACTGCATGCTACAAAAATCCGATAGTGGATATTGATAAACATCTTCTCCACAGAGGCATTGACCGTATCCGACTATCAATTAAAGGACGGACGCTGGTGATTGCAGCATGGGCAAACGGCGATGACCATAGCTCTGCTTACCTAGTCATAGTTCAAGAGGTGGCCCGACCGACGAAAGGGAAGATGACGAAAGGGCCGAAGATTGGACTCCACATTTGTCGGTACGCATACAAGTCTCCGCAGCATCCGCAGCAGAATCATCGTTGCCACAAGCTTACGCTAACACTAGGGGCAAGTTAGCCGATACTAGTATTCTCGGCGGTCTATAATATGAAATTGTACAAGGTTATACGAGGTACGCCCGTCGGTGTATATACAATCTCAACTCGATCTTACTTCGGGCTGACCAATGCAAAGCGGTTAGAATGTTCACAGTATTGATAAAAACAAAGCACATTTTCATATATTTATACAAGCCGCAGTAATAAACTTTTTCAGCACACCCCCATTTTACTCACAACTCCATCTACGTCGACTTTACGCATTTGACTCGGTGCAGGCATCTGTCGGCATCTTCGTCAAGCGTTTTGTTGCCTTACCAAAGTACCAAAAACAGTGTCCATCACAATGAAGACTGCCATTGCGTCGATCCTTGTGCTGGCTTCGGCTGTCCTTGCGGGCCCTGATTTGTCCGTAAACACTGGGCGTTCTATCGGAAATCTAATCACAGGCAATTCGCTACAGCTTGGAAAGAGACAGAGTTCCGTGAAGGATTCACTTACAGGCAACAATACCGATCCGGGTATCGGCTACTTCGAGCAGCCAATAGATCACAACAACCCCAGCCTTGGAACATTCAAGATACGATATCTTTGGAGTAATGAGCATTGGAAAGGCCCAGGTTCTCCAATCGTCGTCTTCACCCCTGGCCAGGCCAATATATCCAGCTACTATGCCATTTTCGACAAGTTCAACGAGACCTTGATGTACCAAAACACCGCCCAGCTAGCCTACGAAGTCGGTGCCGCTTTGGTGCTTGTTGAGAATCGATACTATGGCGAGTCTTCGCCGTACGAGGAGTTGACTACTGCAAACCTACAGTACTTGAATCAAGACCAAGTCATGCACGACTTGGTCAACTTCGCCAAAAACGCCAAGTTACCATTCAGTCCTAACAGCACCGCTTCCAACGTCCCCTGGATTCTTACTGGCGGCTCATACTCCGGTGCTGTGGCTACCTATGTTGCTGACAAGCTCCCTGGTACCTACTGGGCTTACTACACCTCCAGTGCTGTGGTGCAGTCTCAGGATGAGTTTTGGAAAGCAAACTTGGCTTTCCAGAAGTATGGGCCGAAGAATTGCACAAAAGACGTTGCGGCCGTTGTCGGTCACATTGACCAAGTCTTCTCACGTGGCATCGAGAGCGAAAAAGTCGCCATCAAAACCATGTTTGGCATGAAAAACCTCACACACGACTATGACTTTCTCCAGGTCCTTGCCGGTGATCCAGCATTGTGGGCTGGCCAGAAATTGTACTATAGAACAGAAGCAGAAAACCGGGACTTCAATGACATATACAAATGGTGTGATGCCATCGAAGGTGCTTGGGATACAGTCACACAAAATTACACCAACGCTACCCTTCCTGGTGCTGAAGGTGTAGGCATGCAGAAAGCGCTCAAAAACTGGGCAGGCTGGTGGACAAATGTCTTGCTCCCCACTTACTGCTTGGATAGATTTGGAAGTTATTACCCTGGACTTTACGAGGAGAACAGTACCTACTGTCTCGAGTCGGTCGACCCTAATGATCCGTTTTTCACCGACTTGAGGGTTCGAAATCCCTGGGTTCGACAATCTTGGTGGATGCAATGTAACGAGGCTGCGTATACATGGGCGGGTGCACCCAAAGGAGTCCCCACCGTCGCCAGCAGTCTGCTCACAGTTGCTGAATTCACCAGAATATGCAAGAAATTGTTTCCCACAGGGCCCAAAGGGGAGAAGGTTGGCAGGCGCACGCAAGACCAGTACAACGCCCACTTTGGCGGGTGGAACATCAAAGGCACCAAGCGACTGCTTCATGTTAATGGCGAAATGGACTACTGGTTACCGGCTACTTTTGCGGCTCCCCAACGACCCGGCGGTCCTCTACAGAGCACACCTGAAGTTCCTACGTGGGTCATTCCGGGCGGGCTGCATTGTACTGATTTCAACATGTGGGATGAAGGTCGTTACAATAAAGATGTTTTAAGGGTAACTGGTGAGGTTCGTGCTCAGCTCAGGAAGTGGATATCTGAATGGCCGGGTTACCACGGGAAGATACCATCGATATAGCTTTCCGTGACGTACAATGGAACGGGGCTTTAGGCGTCATTGTATGGATATGGAGATTGTGTTGCACGAATATGCATAGTAGCTGGTAGCATCACAGATCAAGACCCTTGTATGGATAAAACGTGCAAGACTTGGGTCTCTAGTGAGCTATAAACTTGTCTCGTATTTCTTGTACTACTCGCGTCGAGGTGTGCTCTACGACACAGCTTGCATGGTCATTTCTAATATCAGTTCGTGCAACAGACACGGTGGTAGTACTGGACAGGAGTAGAGGATGGATACCAGTGCGTATATACAAAAAGCGCATATTGGTATAACCCAAAACACGCCTTGGTGAAAATAGAGCGGCGAAGTATAGAAAATCAAAAGTCCACATGATCCACATCAGCACTTGACGGATCGTTGCCCAATTGCATACCAGAACCATGCAAAATCGGGAACTCGAGGATATGCCAAGGTAATCTATCCCAACCCGAAAACGCCTCCCAGCGCTATTGCCTTGCACTGACAGACGCGCTGCCGAAAATCAAATGTTGCGCGTAAAGATATATCCATGTTGAGTGCGTACAATGGAGCCCGGCTTACATGGAGCCCATGGCGATAAGGGCCTCGATGGCGTCGCGTTCAGCACCGGATCCAGCAACACCAGTAGATGCATCAAAAATATGAGAGGTCGAAGAGTTGCCCGCGTTCACGACGTGATTGCCACGGGATGCATTAGGAACAGTAAGGAAATATTTGAATGTAGGTGTGCCGGCGTGAGGCTGAGGCAGAGAGTGGGCCTGGGCGGATATGCTCCGGTAGCGCGGGTTGCTGGTCTGCGTTCGGCTTAGATAGTTGTAATCGCGGTGTTCTCGGCGCGGTCCGCAGCGGGTCTCGCGAAGAGCTTCAGGGTCCATATTTGCCCAATCTTCCTGGTCGGTGTCGTCGTTTAGTTCTTCTTCTAAATCCATATCCGAGGCCGAGTCGGAGTCGGTGCTGCCTTCAGAGTCGTCCAGCGACATCTTGTCGGCCATGTCCTCGTCATCGCCCTGGCGATGGGGCGACCACGAGCCAGCGTTCCAGCTGCCAGAGTAGACGTCGCGTTCTTGTCGCAGCTTGGAGATGTGAGGACTGCCCCCTATGCTATCGACACTCGCCGGTGGTGTCCGCCCGTTTCCAGAGCGCTTGCCACCGATGGGCATCCCTCGGGCCTGGGACGAAGAGCCGGCTACGCTCCAGCGCCCCCAGCCGACCTTCTCAAACTTGACCTCCCCGTGGAGACCGCCGCCAGCGCGATGTTCCAGCGCAGCGACGACTAACCTGCGCGCCTTTGCAGGGGGAAGTCCGGAGAAGCCCGGGACCGCCTGTGTCAGATGCGCCATCATTTCGCGGATGGGCATGGCGCCGTGGCCGACGATGATGTCCGGCAGGTGGTGCTTGGCCAGCATCAGCGCTGTAATCTGACGTGTCGCATCCAGGCCTGCCAGCGCCTCCTTGGACAGGGCCGAGGGCTGGTCCTGCGCTGCCGCGTGCTCTACAGCATCTTGTAGGTCGATATCCATGGACTCGTCCGGTGTCTGTACGCGCCCAGCCACGGGCATGGGGCGCCGTTTCTGCGCAGGCAGCGTCGGGGAGATGGAGCTCGGGGGCGTGGGGAGGGTGCCGGTCGAGGTAGCATGGCCACTATCCTGGCGCCCAAAGGCCATGGCGATGTTGGACACGGGCTTGTGGGCGATAGCAGCCATGTTTGGGTTGCGAGGCAGGGGCGGACGGGATGAGTCAGAGCGCAAGTTGTTGTGCAGTCGCGATGGGTGGAGAGAGGTCTGGGAACTAAAAAGAACTAGGAGTCAGCAAGTTGGGGGCGGGTACTAGGACGTGGTGTCGTCGAGGTTGCGCGGCAGACGTACCTGGACTTCGTCGGTCTTCGTCGGTCTTCGGTATGAGTCGGTATGAGCTGTCGGATATTACGTGTGTTGTTGTTCGGGCAGCGAGTCGAATACGGGCGTGTGGTGGGAGCAGATGATAGAGATGCGGTATGCGACAGGTACAAAGCAACTAGCAGGCGTATATCTATTCGCGTTGTGGTGTTGTATTTGTGTCAAGCTTCAGCGATGTAGCTTGTGCCTTCACCGTTCCGAGACGTTTAGCGATCGGCGATCAGCGAGTCGGTGACGGGGGGATGCAAACGGCGGTCGGAACAAACAAAGCTAATTACAACAAAGGGGTAGCAGCGTAAATTTGCTCAGGAGCAAGATGGCTATGGGCAAAAGGTCAAAATTGCAGTGTGGGATGTGTTGTGAGTCTTCGCAGATGGCAGGGACTCATGATAAGGACCGTCTGCTGGTTCCGAAGGCAGCTGGAACCAAGGAACACGCGCGCATCTGACAACCCCCGACGGGAAGCTACGGCTCGTGCCCCTGCTCATCCCATGATTCGTTCGGCACCACCAGACGGACTGCGACGACTGCCACACTTCAGACAAGCGTCATGACATTTCGCCCCCTCGCTGCAGCAGGGACTCGCCGCGTGCGCCGTCGAAGCAGGGCAATTTTACAACGACACAAGCTTTACCCCGTCTACGTCTGTCTGGTCGACCTCTCGTGTCTGGGGGCCTCATTACTGTGCTTGCTGAGACACTCCCTTTGTGCGATCCGTTTGCAGCCGAGCCACCCCATCCCGCCGTCTGCATCGGCTCTTTGTGTAGGCCATCCAACTATCCCATGCTGCCCGGCCCCAGAAGGCGATTGGCCTTATCGCGTTGCGGGGTCCATCCCACATTCTATTACTCCGACTTCGCTTTATGCCCAACTGATCATGGCATTTCATGGCATTAGCACACACGATGCAACAGGGCGAGACATTGTGGGATAATACGACCGCAACTATCCAACGAGTGACGTGAGCAGCCCGGCTTGGGGCCAAGGTGCGCCGGCGTGGATAATGCCTCAGCCATGATGATTCGCGTTGACGACATACTTTGTGACGGCCTAGTGAGGTTAGCGATGCAACTACACAAACTTGAAATTCCGATTCGGAACGACGTACCGATTTGAGCACGTTGATCTGCTGGTTCGTGCGATTAAACACGGCGCGGTACTTTTCCAGGTTCTGCTGAACCACATCGTTGCGTGTAGTGCGGCCCTCGCAGATGGCTTTCATCTGAACCTCCATCTATCCGAGTGTTAGTCGCCGTGACCAATACCCCACGCAGAGTGACACTTACTTCCTTCCGTAGAAATGGCTTGCTAAGACTCGTCTCAAATCCTACATTGTCGTATCCCTCGATAAGCGCGACACCCAGTGTCGTTGGAATGAACTCTTGCACCCCGCTCGTCCCTCCGCCATCCTGACCAACTGCTGCGCCGCCTCTCCCGCCGCGCCCGCCTCGTCCACCTCTTCCTCTACCTCGACCTCTGTCTGTACCAGCAACTGCTGCGCCGCCTCCTTTGGCTCGCGCAATTACGTATTCCCGCTTTTGAATCGTGGCAATGTGTTCAGCCATGGTAGCGTCTGTGCCAATGCCATTCGCGTCCATTAGCGAGATAAGCTCGGGTTCGGTGAGGTAACTTGGTGCACATGTCTGGCCGTCTTGCATGTTCGCCTCTGTCGGTTCAAATGTTTCGCCCACTGCGTACTTGGGAAGCACCTGGCTACTTTCCCACTTGTCGTATGGGTAAACGTCGAGGTAGTTGCGTGCGATGACAGTCAGACCGTGCGCGTGGAAGAACTCGCCGCCATAATCAATCTCAATGTCCGTAGCTTCACCGACAGCGTCTTCGGAGCAGCATGCGAGAAAGCGACGGACGACAAACTCGTACACCGTTCGCTCCCTATCGTTGAGCTGCGTAGGCGCGACGTAGTTTACAGGGTGGATGGGCGGATGGGCTTTGTCGTTGTTGCGGCCCTGGCGAGGTTGATGAAACCCGCCGTTCATGAGATTCTGCGCGAATGGACCCCAGCGACCGTCTTGAGTTTGCCTTCCAACAAGTGTCCGTAGATCCATGGCGCGGTCAAACTGATCTGTTTCGGTACGCGGGTAACTGATCCATCCTTTGGTATAGAGCTCTTCAGCCACCTTCATGACGTCCTGCGAAGTCATGCGTAGGAACCTACTTCCCATCTTCTGCAGTTCTACAGTCGTCAGAGGCAACGGCTTCCACTTGCTAGTCGGCTTTTTACTCATCTTGACGACCTTTGCCGTCTTTGCAAGTAAGCATTTCTCGAAGATGATTGTGACGGCCATGCGATCAAATAAATGGCCGCGTCGCCAGCTAAACCTGACGTCTACCTTGTCTTTTGTCTGCTCTAACTCTTTTGTGTGCCCTACTTTGATGTACCAAAACGGCTCAGGGACAAAGTTTCGGACGCGCAGATAGCGATCGACAACAAAGCCCAAGGTCGGGAATTGGCAGGAGCCGTAGCTAATGACCTTGCCACGCTCTTCGCCTTGTTGAGGGATCACGTTTTGAAGCGCAAATGTTTGCATGCGCGTGAAGGCTGCGCCCAGGCGAAGATCTAGTTCCATACGCGCCGAGACGGCTTCAGCCTGCGCTTCATCCAAGCGGATGGGGTTCTGCGAGGCCTGGATGACATGACTGACTTGTTGTTAGCTGCAAAGACTTGACTTGAGATGGAGTACAAACGCTCTCTCAATGTTGCTGAAGCGCGCTCTCCAGACCTGCATGTTTGGATTCGCTTTTAGCGCAATATCGCGGATCTCACTTCCAATATGCTCCCCTTCGCGATCGCAGTCGGTCCATATATACAAGATGGATGCATATCGGGCTTGCGCTTCAATGTTGCTCGCCACGACCTTTTTGTCCTAGACCTAGTCAGTGTAGACCGACAGACAGCAAACAGCAGCCTGGTCATACCTGTGCTATGCTGGAAACTATCGGAGCATCGAACAATGCCGATGGCGGACAAGAGTGCCATTTCTTGAACTGATCGTTAAAGTCTCGATGCACAATGTGACCCGCGACACATGTAAAGGTTACGGAGCAATTGCCCCAGGGATTGAAGCGGAAGTCGAACTTGTAGTTTTTGACATATTGAATGCCACGGACGTTTTCCTGTCTATAGTCAGAGTTCCATCCTTATTTCAAGTCTAGTATACTTACAGCACGGGCTTGGCCACCCAAGTGGTTCGCGACTGCTTTTGCAATCGAAGGCTTCTCCGCCACACACAACACTCGGGTCATACCTCACAGGTATGGACTTTTGCATACAAGCGAACTCTTACGTAGGATCAAGCCCAGGGATAGCGGTCATGTGAAAACGCGACAAGGCTGTAAGCGCGCTCGGTCGCAGCACGGGTCATCCCCGCTAAGCGATCGGATGTCTGGGAAAACACAAGCAGCGATTCATGAGGTCATTGCACCTCCCACAACAAGCGCTGCCTCCACCACACGAGGGGCATCGCAACATCGTCGCTCGCAGGACCACCTCTTCATCATGCCCGACCCACGTACCTACATCGATATGGCGCTGCCACTCGTCAAGACGCTGCCCGAATGTGCCGATTACTTCAAGACGGTGGAGCCGTTCATCCCGCAACTCTACGAGCTCCCGGCCAAGGTTGCAGCTCACATTACCGATGCGCAGGCGTTGAAGGAGCTCTATCTCAATACGAATCCGCTCATCTCATCGCTGGCGTTTGCCGCCATGTTCCTTCCGCCCATCGTGCTCGTCCTTTCCGAAATCAACAAGAACTATTCTCAGATTGACCGTCTGTGGAGCTTGCTACCTGCGTTTTACAATATACACTACGCCGTATGGGCGCACCTCAATGGCCTACCGACAATGAAGCTCGATCACGTCATGGCAGTATCCATCATCTGGAGCGCTCGCTTGACCTTCAATTACTGGCGCAAAGGCGGGTACCAGGTGGGCAGCGAGGATTACAGGTGGATCATTGTAAAGGACTACATTGGAGGGCCGGCCATGTTTGTATTCAATATGACCTTCATCTCGCTCTACCAGAGTGTAAGTGACCAGGCCTTGCGCGTGGACATATTGCTGATGCTTATAGATCCTCCTCTGGCTACTCACCGCGCCCACATACGTCCTACTTCTTGCCTCGCGTATCAGTGGCAATGGTGTTACCTCATACGATACCCTTTTCGGTCGCGGCATGCTCGTTCTCGTCGTCTTGGAATTCTTTGCCGACCAAGCACAATGGAACTTTTACAAGGCAAGAGGTGCATACCATAAGACAGCCAAGGTGCCGTCTGAGTACAAGTACACTCGGGAGCAGCTCGATCGCGGCTTCAACACCACCGGACTCTTCGCCTGGTCGCGCCACCCCAACTTCGCTGCCGAGCAGGCCTTCTGGGTGGCTCTATACCAATGGGGCTGCTTGGAGACCGAGACGTACGCCAATTGGGCCGGTGTAGGTGCTCTTGCATACCTGCTCCTTTTCCAGGGCAGCACGTGGCTCACTGAATTGTTGAGTGCGGGCAAATATCCGGAGTACAAGGTATACCAAGAGCGCGTGGGCAGGTTCCTCCCCAACTTTAGGACCAAGAGTATGGATGCGCCGCTCAACGATAAGGAGCAGAAAAAGGTCAACAACGCAAAGGCAGGCAAGGGCGCAATCAAGACTAAATAGAGATGTCATGGACAACCTTGCAGCCCTGGATATATGGTAGCGATGGGTTTGGTAACAAGGAGTGTGTGAGTTGTTAGAATGAACATTCTGGTTGGGCGTGGTCTTCAAGGACCTGTTTTTCTGTCGTGGTTGACTATGCATCGTGGGTGTGATATGTTTATCTGGAGAAGATGATCCCACTTCATGAGCAGGCCGAGTCGTGTACAGGCAGGTCCGCAGGGATTAATATATTGAGATATGAAGTAATCAAATAACTATACACAATCACACCAGTCATGACATACTCCTGCTCGAACTTCACTTTAAGAGACAGATCTGGCATCAGCGCTGACTCGGGAACGTCCAATGTTAACAGACCCTGACTCACTCGCGTGGATGCTTGGACTCCTCAGCCTTCTCGGTGCTTCATCTGGCAGGCAACGACCCTGGTCAAGACATATACGTGCCAAGCGACAAACAACGAGACCAAGAAACAAAGGATGGAACTACCGATATATGCGATTGTTGCCGATACATTGCAACTGTAATGTGAACCGGATAGAGTCACGTTCCCGACTCAGTCGTGCACTCAGTACTATCAGCAGAAGAAGATTTATGTGTTTAATCATCCACTTCAGAGCAGTAACTGCATTACAAAGGCGTCCACTGGGCGCAAACCAGACATTAACGGCGAATGACACGTCAGCGATTACCGAATGATTTGGGACATTTCGTATTACTTCACGCTGCTCGAGATCAGCTCAGATACACTTTCAATATAGTAGGCCCATTGATATCTAGTTTCATATATTTCTTTTACACACGATCATTGCATACGATGTTATAAGCAGAAACGACAGAGTACATATGCTTCACGAGCAACGCTTTGCTGTATAGTGAGCTTCACGCAATAAATGTGAATTTTCATAACAACACTTGGTTGCTACTGCGATTGCGTTGGTATGTCTCATTGAATTCCAACCTATGCAAACCACAACAGGAAACAACATATAACACACTTCGAGGCCCTAGCATTCTACACTGATCAAATCTCGCTGCAGGAACGTCCCTATTCAGAACACAACTATGACTTTGGAAAATACAACAGATATGCCTCTCTCGTCTAGAGAAACTGTTCCAATACATTGGCCGATGACGATACCCAAACACGCAAGCTTTGCCATCTGTTCCTCGCAACCAGTCCAGCTATGTGCTCCCTGTTCAATACAGGTCCATGCAACTTCGCCAATCCATATCTACTGCGATCGCAGGCTGAATATCATACCAGCAGGTCAACTGACACCAGGATTTGCGCGTGGCTGGCTCAAGCTACCCGTAGAACTCAAGCTTGCTATATTGCGATGCAACCTGATTTTTTCTGTATCGATCTGGCCTTCAAATGTCAACTCCGTCATTCGCAACCATCTTCTCCCGTATTTACGAATGACACCTGACATTGCGGAAATTGCAAAATTGGTATTCTATCGCGAGAACCGGTTCATTATACAGTTCTCACCTTCCATGCCTGGGTGCAATCTCGCAGTAGTTAAGCCTCCGATGCACGTACGCTCCCAGCTTCGTCGCATCAAGTTCTTAACACGTCTTACGGCGCTGGACTGGAAGATACTGCGGGAAATATCAGAAGAGGAGGATAAAGTCGGCTTCACGAACGTCGTCCACCTCGAAGTGAGTTGCTTGTTAAAGGAAGCTGCAATGGACTACATGAGTAATGGAAGGTTGAAGCAGAGGGATGATGTCGAAGCCTCGACGGAAGACCACCACTATCTGCCAGAATCACCGATAAGGTTCCCATTTGACGGTGTGGTTCTGTATGATATGTTCGGCTGTGACTCGACCGGAAGTTGGGAAGAAGATATTACTGTACTGACTTGGCTGCAAACCATGAAAGATTCAGTGAGCACACATATCACATTCAACAATAAGTAGGACTACATAGTCAGTAGTTGGAGTACCAACTTTGAATTAAGTGAGCTTGCTCATCTCCAGAAAAAAACATTTTCCTGAGTTCGTGGATATGGACCTAATTACGATGTATACCGTGACTCAAACAGACCATACACCCCAAGTCGTAGCACAAAGGCCGACTACCGACTACTCAGTCGGCACCATGTCCCCAAGAACGTCCACGATAATCTTTGAACAAGCCCCATGACAAAACGAAGATCCATTCTGTGTCATACACTGTATACCCGTAACCTCGAAGGTATAGTTCTTCGCTTTGGTAGCAATGCTCGTGCATTCGAAACCCAACCTAGCAATCCGACGACAGTGATCCAGAGGGAGATTCTTCAAGCGCCCCTTCATGAAGCAGGTTTTGTCATTGAGGTATAGGATGACTTTGAGATTCTTCAAGCTCAGCTTGTTGTACCATTCGGCGCTCAGGGCACACTTTTCATCGGGATCGAAACCGTTGAGCAGAAACTTCCACTGGCCACTGCGGGAAGAGATGTTACGCTGCCCAAAGCCACCGTTATCATACGACAAGAAGTTAAGCTTCAAGGTGAGATTCTGGATCCAGTGTCCAACCATAGGGTTTGGGTATGATAACCTGAACATCGGATTCAAGTTTCGCACTACTTGGACGACGAAGTGGTTTTTGGTGTAATAAAGCTCCATGGCTAGGATACACATCTTCTTGTTCGTCAACGCAAGTGGAAGGAGATGGTACATGCTGTGCATTAGGTGGACATGCGGTGTGATTGGCCTGTCAAAGACCAAGACATATCCCAGGACATTCAACTTTAGTTCCGTAGGAAGTTCTGACCAGCTGGACGAAGCACTGACTACTGTTGGATCGGAGGAGAGATGAGAGAGAAGGTTGTTTTATTGAGAGAGCTGCAGAGAGCGACTATATACATGAAGTAGAGTATCTGGAGCATTCCAGATCAGCAGTGTGTTACGTAGCTGTGACGATAGTAGAACATTCTAGTTGACACACCCCCTGAGGGCTGACAACTACGGTCGTCTCAACTGGAGTAGTCTCTAGGAAACTGTGTTTGCGCTTGGTCCCAGTCATAGGGTTCCGACAGGGTTGCTGCGACATTCGATTGATGGTTGAGAGCTTTTGGATAATTTGATGCCGAAGGTTATGTGCTGGTGGAGTTCATGTTGAGGCAAGGGTCGAAAAATCTCGGAAGAGCTCTTGTTATTATCACGTAATCGATGGTTCTTCAGTTTGGTACGCCAAGGATAGGTACCGTGATACCGTCAAGGAGATATGAACTTCGCGTGCACAGTTGATTTTGAGGGAACTGGTTAAAAGTAGACTTTGAGTAGAGTACCGACTCAATTGATATAGACCCACGAGATAGACAGAGGTGAATTTCCACATGCTTGGCCAGACAGTTTATACGTCGTATCCACGCTCAATTGGCCTTGGGAAATAAACTCAAGCCAGCTCATCAGTATAAAAGACATTCTTGCCTACGTATATTCACTAAGTAAATGCTGTATTGTGGTGAGTAGGATGTATCAGGAAAGTCCATTAATGCTTACCTGTTGGTTGGCTTTGCACTCAGTGCGTAAAGGGAAATAACGATAACTAGGAATGCATTCTGTTTGGTGATTGTTCTGATTGATTGTGGAGGAGAACCATGGAAGAGCTAGATATAGGAGGTTTGGTCTGAGCGCTGCTCGGACGCCGCGATCAGTGCGTCTGTCCGCGTAACTGATATCAGTGCGCCTGCTCGCGTGACCGAGATCAGTGCGGCCGATCGCGTAGCTGAGATATCGTTGATATCTGTGATCCGACATTACCAATACTATTGTCACATTAATATTGTGTTGTAAAATTTGTGAGAAAATGTCAAGAGTACTGATAGTTATGTCTTAGAATATTATATAGCTCAATTGAGTAAGCCGAAGCTACATGGGAAGTGCAGTGCTAATTCACACAAGCATGAACGATGAAACAAGCACCAGAGGGTAAAGCTTACCCACTGAGATTCAGAGGTGAAGCTATCATCTATAGCAGCGGATTAGTGTAATACCTCACTATCGAACACAACTCTACTCCTCCCTTCGATGCCAGCATCCACTGCGCTTTTTACTTTGAGTGCCACGTCTTTGTCGAAAAATGCAACACCAAGCTCTTGGCTCGTGAACCAACTAGCACGGTCCAGATTTCCAGAGCCCAGGACAAGCACTTCATCGTCTACAATGGTCATTTTGAGATGGGACTGTTGCGGCTCTCCCCCTTCTCTTCCCCTGCTTCGTGGTCCTCCAATTGCATCAAAGTACGATATGTGAAGGCTACCGGGTCGGAAAGCAGCCATGGGTGACTCTTCATCAGTGGCTTGAAGTATATCAGAAGAGAGCTTTCGGTAGCGTTTGATAAGCCCATTGATGCAGCGTGATGTCGTAGTTCCTGCCGTGACTAATTGCTCGAGTATCATAAGGCGCTCTGAAGTCAATATACGGACGTCAATACCGCGAGCAAGTGCTCTGAGTATCGCCGATAGAACCGGTGGCGAAGTGAAGTTTGGTGTTTGGATGCGGATGCTCTTTTCTGCCTTGTCGAAAAGTGTGAGTATGAAAACGTTCAACGGCGTCGGCGGCGCTTTCACGTCTCCCTGTAGTCCGAAAAAGTAGAATTGCGGGTTCCGACGATGCGGACTGGGCAAGAAGACTGTGTGTATGTCTGGAGCTGAGAGATGCACAAACGACTTGAGCGCGGGATCCTCTTTGATGGAAGCATGGTTTACAGCTTCAAGAACAGTAGGGTCATCCAGTCGTTGTTCCCAAAAGGTACGGTAGAACTTGAGAAACTGGTCAACCACTGGTCCTGTGAGAGAAATGGCACCCTCGAACCACTCTTCCCAGCTAATGTTACAACTCGGCAGTACAACCGTCTTTCGGTCCACAATGATGAATTTGGGATGCATGACGCTAAACGGCAAGATGAAAATGGACTTGATATCTAAATCCAGTCCATGGAGATCGGAAGCATCAGGTAGACCCAGCTTCTTCACCCAGGACGAGGAGTCGTAGGTTTGGCCTGCGGTGGTCTGCTTGTGGAATAGCTTTTGCAAGATTGAGCTGGAAGAGAAGCATAGCCTAACCCTGATTTTCTCAGTGCCTCTCCGAATAGCTTTGTCAGAAAGTCTTCGAAGTACGTCATTTAGTGTTTGTAGTGTTGATGACTGAGCCCAGAAACAGGTGACGAGAATAAGCTCGTGGCTAGTGGATTCAAAGAGCGGCACAAGAGAATCGTAGATAGCGGACCCGGTACCAGTCACAAATGTTTCGAGATTCGATGTGGTGAGAAGCGAGCGCGGATAGCGGGCGTAGTAGCTGGGATCATCGTTGGCGTTCTCTGGTGCAGCAGCATCCAGCGCGGATATGAACGGTTCGTCGAAACGGGACCTGGGGGTACGTGTAGTCGGCAGCATGTCTTTATAGATACGATGTAATACAACAGTGTCACCGTGTAAGATGCGATGCGAGGCTGCTGATGGGATGACGCCTAGCCTGTCGCGACTCCCGCTTGACGCGTCGGGACTAGTCCATGTTCGGATGGGTGATGACAGGGATTGTCGGAGCTTCAGTCCCCGCCAAAATTTCCAGTCTACAACAACACATGCCAATCGCATTTCCACGTTACGCAGCGGGCCTTCAGAGCAAAAATCGAGTATCCTGAATCGCGCGGATACAATCAATTCAACGACGCAAACTTCATACAGTCAAATCCATCGCCAAAACAGGCGCACGCTTCACTATGCCTGTCTCGATCCTACCACCAAGCGCACCTCTCCCTCCACGTCGCGATGCCAAAGATGAGGACGAAGATTCCGATGTTGAGATGGACGATGAAGATCTTGCGACATCCACGTCAAAAGCCATTGTAACACCCGGCGAGCACATCACCAGCGACCCGCAATGGATGCGCGGCCACGGCACTTACATTCCCTCGATCCCACCTTCTTCCACCACGATAATATCTACCGTTGCGGGTACACTTCAAAAGACGAATAAGCTGCTATCAGTACAGCCACTGCGAGCGCGCTACCAGCCCGAGATAGGCGATCTAGTAGTTGGACGTATAGTGACGGTGGGCACAAAGAAATGGAATGTAGACATTGCAGCGCCGATGCTTGCAAACCTTCCTTTGAGTAGTATCAATCTTCCAGGTGGTGTTCTAAGGCGCAGGACAACGGTTGATGAGCTAAACATCCGGACATTCTTCCAGGAAGGCGATTTGCTGGTCGCCGAAGTGCAGAGTTTGCACCAGGACGGGACAGCAAGCTTACACACGCGATCGCTGAAATACGGAAAACTCCGAAACGGCTTGTTCACAAGTTTGACTGGCGCTGGTGGTGGTATACTATCGAGGAAAGGTGGAGTTGTTAGGTCGCGAAGACAGGTCTTTACGCTTAATACAGCTGCGGGAGAGATCGATATTGTGCTCGGCGTCAACGGGTACATATTCATCAGCAAACACATCACAACGAATGCAGATCCTAAGGAAATGGGTATCAATCGACTGGACGAGAGCGTCACCGAGACGCTGTATTCGAGCCAAAACGACGATATCGAGCCGGCAGTCATGCGCGAAATCACGAGAGTCAGCACGCTGATCTGGGGCCTAGTCGCATGTGGTGCCAAGGTCGATGAGGATATGATTGTAAAGGTTTACGAGGGTGCGGTGGAGCTGGAAGCTGAAGAGAATAGTCTGGGCGGTGTCGAGCGGGGAATCGGTGCAAAGGGCATTGTGGAAACCGTACTGGGCCGGCTTGAAGCGGAAGCGCAGATGCATCTTGAATGAAGCGAGCCCTGATCGACAGGAACCAACACCGACCACATCGCAAGTGCGAATACGTCTCGGAAACCACCGGGCAAGCATCGCGGATCACATAGCCCCAACGCGATACCCAACGCCCAGACGCATATATCCGTAAATACAATCATAGATCAAGGGGCCAAGGATACGATTAGATGATTAGTTTGGTAGTGTACACTCCTCATGATACGAACACATTACCATCCCTATACTTGTATGTGCCAAACTGAATCCAGTTCCTTCAATGGAAAGCGATTCCGTTCCCGAACGAAAAATCAACGCCGAAACCATATTACGTCCAATCATCCTTCCATAGCGAGAAAGGCCTCTCTCTCCAACCTCCGAAGACTATCAATATCTCCGCCAGCCTCAATCACGGCCTTCATGGCCGCCTGACTAATCTTGCGCCGCTTATCAGCAGCCTCCTTTTCCCTTCTTGCCTTTGTTTTGCTGGACCCGCTCGGCGCCACACCGGTAAGAATCTTCCTGCTATCGTCTGGTGTGAAATTCACAAAGCCATCGCTCGCTGTACCGCTCATCTGGCGCGAAGAGTGAGTAGACCCGTTGCTGGATTTGCGGCGTTGCGAAGATGAGCTAGTGCGGTGGTGGGGGTGCGAGTTTGTTGATGGGCGCCGGCGGTGGAAGCGTGGCTGCGTGTTTGGTGATGGGGAGCGAGAGATTGGGCGGCCAATTGGGATCATCTGATCTACCTGTTGTTGGGGGGCATGGGAAAACGTGGGGTATCCGAAGGTGGGCATTTCGAGGGCAGGAAGACCACTGTCATTTATGTTGAAATCAAACGACGAATCACATGTGATACCTAGACCCATGTTCTGGCTTGTGCAACGGGAGTTGCCTTCGTGAACGCTCATCGAGCAAGGCTGCGACGTAGCGATCTGGTCATCCCACCATCCAGCTGTCTTGGTATCGTTGGAAAATTCGGGCGAGGCTGAGAAGCTGAAGTCTAAGCCTGGCGAAGTTTCCGGACCCCATATTGTCATGGGCAAAGGAAGAGATGAGGGCGGGGTTTGCAAGGCTGAAAGAGCCGCACTTGACGCTGACGAAGAGCTCAATACTGAGCCCATGTTACCGCGGAAGCTCTGGTCGTTGTGAGTGCCGTTGGAAATACCAATTGCCGGGGATGCCGATGGTGTCAACTGGTAGTTTGAGAAATCGGGTTCGTCGTGGGGGAGAGGTGAGCGAGTGTGGGTGTAAACTGGCGGCTGCGAATACGGAGCACAGAAATCATTGCTGCTCTCTTGTTGGACGACTTTGGAGGAAAGAGGTGGCGAACCCAATTCTTGCGATGAGCAGCGTTGGAAGGATCCGGTTGTGCTTTCTGCCTTTTTCGTCCACATGTCTGGGATGGGAGAGCGGTGATATGATGGCTGCATCATCTTTGCGAAAGATGCCGTAGGCGACTTCTTAGGTAGTTTTGTAACTGCCCGGGTTGTATTTTGGCAGTGGAAAGAAACAGTCTTCTTGGCAGATCGTGTAGATGTGTGCGGTCGTGGTGTGGAAGGCTGAGAAATGGACCTCAATTGGTTTCTGGGAGCCTCGAAGATGTCGTCGAAACTCAACAACTCCGAATCGCTATGAGACTCTTTCCCGGTAGACGAACTCAGGTAGATAGATGAGGTGGAATCATCGCATCGGGCTGAAAGTGGGTTTTGTTGGCTGTCATCGAGAGCCTTGTGCCAAGTAGCGTGTGTGTTCCAATCGGGTATAGGCACTATGTCGAATGGCTCACTCTCATTCGACGAAGGAAGGTCAAAGAACTGTGCTAGATCTTGATCGGGAGTCGAGTCGTTGAAGTGGTGGAGCATGTCTGGGTCGACGAATTCTGCGATAATGCTCTCCAAATCCATGACCTCCACTTCTTTGTTGTTGATCGGCCGCACTGGTATAGTGTTGACTCGGTGTCGTAGCGATGTCATGAAGTGGTCACGTGTGGGGTGCTGTGACCGGGTAGACGGTAGGTGGGAGGGGTATGTTGCAAGTGTTCGGTGAAGAGGCGAGAAGTGAATGGGATGAATGTGACACGGTACTTGTACCTTGCTGGCGATTATGCTATGATGGTTCCGAGCCTGCAGGAACGACTTCTGTAGCGCGCCAATGATGCCAAAAGACAAACATACTAAACAAACATTACGGTAGAGATATATAATCCTACGCGCCAAAACGGGGAGTTCCTTACTAGCCATCTCCCACTTGGTGCTCATTCCATCTATACTTAGCGTACTAGGTCCGTTTGGGTTGACCCAGGGTTGGAATGGGTAGTGACCTGCGCCCCAGCCCTTTGGTTTCATGAGTTTTGAGGCGTTTGCACTGCCCAAAGGTGTCAAACACTAGAAATCTGGGGATTACCAGGTGGTTGGGTAGCTCGCGACGCGGGTATGTACGTTGCATGCAGCCACATACCGGACCTGAGGTTACATTCCTGAGCTCCGTCGCCTAGCCTGCGGGAGTCTGTTACACAACAATCGACTTGTAGCCTGGCTTCTTTGTCCTGACCATCTCTTTGTATGCGTCAAGGTTCGGCCTGTGTGAAGTGCAGAGGGCGCCCTGGGAGTGGTTCGCGACGTTGCGTTAAGGAGGAGAGTGCAATCATGTCGTAGCTTGACCAGTGAGGTCGTTGACGAGGTCCAGCATGATTTCGTGGTGTTCATAGCAATGAGGGAAATCCCGCCACTACCGATGGTCTGGAATGCGATGAGCACACATGCCGTAAACAGTTCCCAGCCAGCGATAGCGATGGACTCTCAGAAAGACAACAAAATGACGTGATAGGCTGACTAGAGAAAAGCTAATAGAGGGTAGGGGAACTGGTCGATATCCAGGACGGCGGATGAAAGGTGCAGGCCTTGCAGGATGTTTGAACCCCAGGCAAAGAGGTTGTGGTGCGTCGCATCGCGTTGCATGTCTACGCAGGCACCGCCTAACAGAAAGAAACCAACCCTATACTTGCTTTTCAATCGATATTCGATAAAGTGAACTACTCATTAGTCTAATTAGTGCAGCTCAAGTCTATTACAGGGTGTAGGGTTGCTGGTGGGCGCACGGCCGCGACAATGCTCTTTGACTCTGTTGATGTAACATATTCTGCAGATAATAGTTGAAGAGCGCATCTTCGCGAATAGAAATCGCGCAATCACTTCGAGTGTGTTTCATCCGTCGTTGTGACAATGACGGTGGTGGGTTCCGGACTCATTGGTGTTGAGGCTTGTGCTCGGCGCGCCATGTGCGAACAAACACAGGCGGTTCAGCCAACTCGAGCCCACGCCAACAACAACGACGCGTGCCATTGTCTCCAGCATAGTGTCGCATTACCGTTCTTTATATGCACATACCGTGGACAGAGTCTCTAGGGCTTTTTTCTCGTGACGCAATGGATCCCGACACGCCCATAGCCAACGACGCCCAACCGTCCATCTTCCGCTGGATCCTCGGCTTTCTAATCGTGGGCGCATGCTGGGGACTTACGACACCGTTTATGCGCAAAGCTGCCATGTATGCTTCTTTCTTCGGATTTACAAGCACCTCTCATCCAACGCCATCTCATGCTTCGAGTTTGGGGAAGCTAACACCACCAGGAACTACACGCCTCCCCAACGCCCCGCCCTCACCGATCCAAACAACTCTTGGCTGAAGAAGAAAGTTCTCGGCGTCCTCTATGCTGTCATTGGTGTCTTGAGTAGACCCGCTTACGCTATTCCACTCCTGCTCAATGTAACGGGCAGCGTGTGGTTCTTCATACTGATCGGAAAAGCCGAGCTGAGTCTTACTGTGCCCATCACAAACTCGCTCGCATTCATGTTCACAGTGCTGGGAGAGTGGTGGGCGGAGAAAAAGGTCATAAGCCGAGGTAAGCTGTATGGGAGATGCGGCGTGGTGCATAACACTGACGAGAGACAGATACATGGATTGGAATGGCATTCGTCCTTGGGGGTATCGGCCTATGTGTACAGAGCAAGACCTCATAGATGCCAAGTATCGTATAACTACACCTACCAGTCCTTTGCAAGTCTATTAGTCGCGTCTGTTCCATTCGCGACGTTCGTCGACGTCTTCCCCTGCGATAATCTGGAAAAACCCTTCTCTGGCGGCTGCAGCCAGTTTCGCTCGTCATACTTCTCCTCGCCCTCAATAACGTGGAATGTGTAGATGTTCCTGCTCTTCTCGCTGGTGTTCTTCTCGCTCTTGTGCAGAATGTTGCCATGAATCAAGACCAGCGTTCCAGCCTTGACCTCCCCGATATCGTACCTCTCCTCCTTCTCCACCATCTCATACTCTTTCTCGCCGTTTATCTCTGGGGTCATGCTCTTTGGGAACTTGGAACCATCATTGTCGATGAATCCAGTCCCGTTGCCAGTTCTGACAAACCTCTTCTCGATAGCAGCGCGCTTGTGACTACCGGCAGCGAAACTCAGACATCCGTTCTCCTTGGTCGCGTCTTCGAGCGCATACCACCAGCCTACCGCACTCGGCGGGTCTGTATACAAAAAGGTGCTATCTTGGTGTGGTGGTACCGCACCGCCTATTTCAGGTTGTTTGCAGATGACCATGGACTGTAGGACACGCGGGTCGCGGAAGCCGAGCGAGGAAGCTATGGCAGCATTCTGAGCGGAGAGGGAGATGCTGCGAAAGGATGGAGATAGCTCGTGAAGATAATGGCCGATTTTGTTTATCGCTCTGTGTTTGGGCTTTGTCAGAGATCCGGATTTGTCGAAGGCGTCTAGTGATGTTTTAGCATGTCGGCGTTCAAGGGAGACGTCAATGAACAGCCTACCTTCTTCGAAGAAGAAACGCACTTTGTCCCCGGATTCCAGGAAGTAGCTGTCCCCTACATGATCTGCACCGTCTTCACCACCAGTCGAGAACTTGGTCATGGGATGTTCGTCCAATGGGAATTCGTTGAGCATCTTGTTGGTGTCTTCCAAGAGCTGCTTCACAGTATCTTGCGATAGCGCATCTGGTATCAACAGATAACCATTCTCATTGAAAAACGCCAGTTGCTCTGGTGTGAGCCCTTGTACAGTTTCCGCAGTCATGGTGAGGTTGGTCGATTTTCAGATTTTGGCGGGGGCGAGGCTGTAACGTTAGGATGGAGGACCGCACAAGAATCGCCATCGCCTCGCCCATGCCGTCAGTAAGCGTCGGAGGTCGCCGCGTATATGAGAAGAGGTGCTGCCCCGCGCCTGCCCCGCGACATCAGGAGTGATGCCGCCGAAGAGAGCTCGAAACGTGAAGCTCACGATTGAGCCGCATTTACCCCTCACCTACGATACTCCCGGAAGCATCCAAGCAGCCTCAGGGGACTTCCGAGGACCAGGTCATGACCCTCGCTTTGATCGACAGGCCCGGATCTGCCAAAGTCTGACCCTGCATTGACTATCCATCCCTGCTATAATATGTATGGATTTCTCCAAGCGGGCCGAACGAAGTAGCTAGGGATAGAGCTTACAAAAGACGCAGTGCGGAGACCCCTATGCAACATGCCTTTGAATGAAAAACACAATACAGTTCAGTCAACCAAGCAAAAAAGACTCCTTCACATCTCTAGATCTATGCAGATTTCACCTTTTCATTGGTCCTCAAAATAGCAGCATGGATAGAAGCGACACGCCACAACTGCCCTTACAGTTGCGGCTCTTTCAACCCTGCGTTTTCATTGTGTCCGCAAGTCTCGACGAGAGCTCCTGACTATGCCGACGGCTGATGCGACACGTGGTGGCTCAGCCCCCCTTCCCTGACGAAGAAATCCTTTCACAGCAGCCGGTCTATTGTACGCATGGGGCCGTAATCGCTTCGGCTCGACGTGCAGTACGGTAGGAACACGCTAGGTTCTACCCGCAATCTCGAATCCTGCATCTATGTACCCTCTGTCGCCGTGCTATTAGTGGAAAACTATTCTGTCATTCGAGAATTACATGCTTCGATCTCTCAAGACTATGAACGTTACAAGGTCTACACGACTACAAGCCTTGCACTCGTGCCATCTGTAATGATTGCCTGATGTTGCAGAAGATCTTCCTCATGTTGCTGATTGGGTGCTAAGTTCGTACCGCCCTTGATGTTGCCAAAAATACGCAAGGACTTCTTGGCCCACGCAACATTGACATCTCAAATCACATCTCAACTGTCAAAGCACTCTACAGTCAGAGAGTTAAGCCAAAGCGGAGCAGGACTGAATTTCTACTGGCTTGGGCGCTTTCTCCAAAAGAGTACAGAATACGGGGGCTATACTTCGCATGATCACGTGTCATGCTTAGCCTGCACATAGGCGTTTTCAAGTTCCGAGTACAATCAATCCACATACCACAGTCAGTTCGCGCATAAGCGACGATGTATGCACCTAGTCGTTTTTGGACACGGGGATACTTACCAGCCCCGCACTTCTGCAAAGTACCAGAGCGCTATTCTGCACACTGCATGCAAGATGCGCCCATTCTATTATTCGCTGTGCGTTCATATTGATGATGTTCATAGTGATAAGTTAGTAACCTTAAGCCAGTTTTCTGGACCCCCACTTCCTGGTGGCTTGCAAACTGCCTACATCCTTCCTATGGACTGTCTCGGTTACGAAAAGACATTGCCCTCGAGAAGCAATCCCCTGCCGTCTTCGTTGCTGCCTAGGCTGACATTATCGCTGCCTTGTTTTTGCAGACTTGGTGCCAAGGTTTTTCACTCGCTTATGCCCAAGTCTTCGGGCCGAAGGACTACATGAGTCTTACGCCTTCCGCCTTCCGCCTCGTCTTGTGGGGAATCTTGGTGCTTTAGACAGGGCGACTAACCAAACTCTGTGACTTCAATTGCGCCATGGCCTTGGCCCTGCACAAAATTTCTTACGACCTCGGAAGCAGACGTCGTGGTGGGCTGCCCGGCTCGGTCTTTGGTCCAAGACAGAAGCTAGCGTACCTGTATGTAAGACGCCCCCAACGTAGATTAACCGTATATAGCGAACAACCGACATGCGCATACTTGCTTCAGCATTTACACATTGATACTTTTGATTCAATGCTGGTTAATATTGGCTGTCACCAGGATTCTCTTTATCCGCGCAAATGGCAAATAGGAGAGAGAGTCTTGATGGATCGTTCGCAGGACGTCTGACGTCTCCAACTCGTGGGATCGAATGACATCTACGGTGTCTGGCCTGATTGGATTGAATTGGACTCTATATCCGGGATTCATAACTGCGGAGGCCTGATGTAGGACTAGATTGCTTTCAGTTACGAGTTGAACCGAATGTGTAGCTTCACCTTTAGGCCACCCATCGCATGTCAGACTTATGGTACATAAACGATGCTCTTGCGTTGCTACCCCGGATTTGGGACAGTATCCAATCCCTTATCTCCCGCCTCTTCCGCTGATCTACTGTGAATGACAGATCTATGTGGAAAGACGTATGATTCCCTAACTCGGCAACATCGCTCCTTGTTATCAAACTCGTTGAAGGATCTTGCTCAAGTGGTCATCTACAATGAAAGCCCCAGCTACTTCCCAGGCGCCGCTAAAGGCCACTTCAGACGTCGAGGACATCGTGGAGCCCATCGCTATCGTCGGATTTGGTTTCAAGTTCCCACAAGACATTACCAACACCGAAAGCTTATGGAAGTTACTAATGGAGCGCCGGTCTACCATGACCGAGATTCCGAAGAATAGATGGAACATTGATGGTTTTTACAAAGAGCATGGCCATCGACCTGGCACAGTCAAGAATCGCGGTGGGCATTTTCTCGCAGATGACCCAGCGCGATTCGACGCACCCTTCTTCTCTATCCAGCCAGCTGAGGCAGAATGTATGGATCCACAGCAACGGTTGCTACTTGAGACAAGCTATCATGCTCTTGAAAATGGTAAGATTTTCTATACAAGTTCCATCGCCAACTAAAACTAACATTTCACAGCCGGAATTCCTATGCAGTCAGCCATGGGTACAAGGACTTCTGTACATGTCGGCTGTTTACTACAGGAATACAGTCAAATCTCGCAGAGAGATGCGCAAATGCCTGGTGACTACCGTATCGTCGGGTCCAGTGGGCTAGCTATGCTTGCCAATCGATTGAGTTGGTTTTATGATTTCAGCGGACCAAGTATGACTGTCGATACAGCGTGCTCTGGCGGGCTTGTTGCACTCCATCTAGCATGCCAGGAATTACTCACCGGTAATGTGAACATGGTAGTTATCTCTGTCTCCAATATTTTCGACCGTAGCTAATAACGTGATACAGTCTCTTGTTTGTGGCAACAATCTGTGTCTGCTACCAGACTCTACAGCCCTACTTAGCAGTCTGAACATGATGTCCAAGGATAGTGTCTGTTACTCTTTCGACGAAAGAGCTTCTGGTTATGCACGTGGCGAAGGCTTCGGTGTACTGGTCTTGAAACGTCTTTCACAGGCCATTACAGATGGCGATACCATTCGTGGCGTCATCCGATCTACCGGTTGCGGGCAAGACGGCAATACGCCTAGCATCACATCGCCAAGTCAGACGGCACAAGAACGTCTTATTCGTGAGACATACGCTCGAGCGGGTCTCAGTCTTGATGAGACTCGATACTTTGAAGCGCATGGCACTGGAACTCCGGTTGGTGACCCATGCGAGGCAGCCGCCATCAATAGTGTCTTTAGTTCTCGAACACCGGAAGAGCCCATGTACGTCGGGGCACTCAAGTCAAACATGGGCCATCCAGAAGGTGCTAGTGGGATAGCGGGTGTCATCAAAACACTTCTCGTGCTTGAGAATGGTATCATTCCACCAAACGTATACCCTGAGCGCATCAACCCAGCTGTTACGTTAGCTGGACCAAACCTAAGGTTCCCACTTGAACCGGTGGTATGGCCTACGAATGGTATACGGCGCGCAAGTGTCAACTCCTTTGGATATGGCGGAACAAATGCGCATGTTGTTATTGATGATGCGCTCAGTTTTCTGAATGAACGTGGGCTGCATAGCCGACACTGCACTCGAGCACTTCAAAGTATCCAAGAACATTGCGTGGCGGACCAAGAAGCATCGACGATAATCGATGACACTCCTGGATCTACTGACTGTGAAAGACTCGAGCACGAGCGACAACGCTATGACAGCATCACGAGCATTGGTGGACCCGAACCGAAAACAGAATCCTTATCAACCAACGAAACACCTTCCCGTGCGACTTCTGAAACAGAAGACGAGAACATTCGTCTCACTGAAGCTTTCAATTCGAGCCCGAAATTGCTAGTTGTGTCTGGATTCGATGAGCGCGCTGTACGGAGATCAGTCACAGCTCTGCAGCGTTGGATGCAAGATCATATAGTCGATGATAACCGAGTACAGGGTCTTGAGGATCTCGCATATACTTTGGCCGAAAAACGCACCTCTTTCCCTTGGAATACCGTATGCGTCGCGCCATCAGAATCGACTCCACACCTTGCATGGCCTGTCCCTATGCGAATGAGGCAGAGAGTAGATGTGTGCTTTGTTTTTACCGGACAAGGTGCGCAGTGGCACGGTATGGGCCGTGAACTATTGGCATACGAAACTTTCCGAGATTCCATGCTCCAAGCCGACCGATTTTTTAAGGCTCTTGGTAGCGAATGGTCTTTGATGGATGAACTTTACAACAAGAACAAGGAAGAATCGGCCATAAATCAGCCTGAGCTCAGCCAACCCATCTGTACAGCCCTGCAAGTCGCGATTGTGGACTTGCTGACCTCCTGGAAACTTGGCGCCCGCGCATCCGTCGGTCATTCTTCTGGCGAAATTACTGCTGCATATACCAGTAAGGCAATATCCCGAGAGTCTGCCTGGATGATTGCCTACTTCCGCGGATTAGCTGTCGCAATCACTCAAAACATTACATCCTTCCAAGGTGCCATGATCGCTGTTCAGGCGCCTCTTGATGTCTGGGAACATCTGATGACTGAACAGAATGCTGCGTATCCAAGTGATCGAGTGTCCATTGCTTGTTACAGCAGTCCAAGGAGCTTTACTGTGTCCGGTTCCCACGATGCCATCCATCGGCTGGTTGATATGCTCAAAGAAGCGAGCATTGAAGTCCATATTCTCAAGATCAATGTCGCATACCATTCACAACACATGCAACCGGTAGCTGGCGTGTATAGCAAGCTTCTTCGTGGTATCGATTGTGGGGAGCAAACCGAAAACCAGCCGTTATTTGTATCTACCGTGACTGGTGACAGTCTAGGAGAGACGGATGAGTTGAGAACCGCCCAGTATTGGAATAGAAACCTTACTGGAGCTGTCAAATTTTCAACGGCCTTGGATACGATTTGCAAACACCAGGATGCTTCATCCTACTTTTTCCTCGAGATCGGTCCGCATTCAGTACTGCGTTCGCCTCTGGGGGAAATTCTGAAGGCTCATGACAGAGATGTCACATTGGACTATGCTTCTGTACTGCGGCGCGATCGTTCGAGCTCCATTACGGCTCTAGAGTGCGCTGGGAAACTCTACACAATAGGTGCATCGATAGACATTGCTGCTGTTAACAAGAGCAGCGGTCCCAGCCCAAAGTTTCTCACATCTCTTCCAGGCTATCAGTTTGAAGACAAGAAGAAATACTGGCTGGAAGGGAGAACCAGCATTCAGTACCGTCAGACGAAATTTGTTCACCATGAACTTCTCGGGTCGCGCACTCCAGACTGGAACGAGCACGAAGCACGCTGGACTAATCGAATCCTCTTGGAACAGTCACCATACCTTAAGGACCATATGATTAACGGTATGTGTCTTATGCCTGCTGCCGGCATGCTTGTGATGGCTATCGAAGCTGTGCGACAATTCTACGGCGAACGCGCTACAAGGGCGACTGGATACAAGCTTCGGGACGTAACGTTTACAAAAGCCATGACGCTATCTGGGGATCCTCGTGGGACTGAAATCCAGTTCACATTGCGACCTGCAAATCTTGACCCGCGAGATGAGCTGCCAGGAAGCCTGTGGGATCATTTCTCCCTCTACACCTACGAGGACGAAGGATGGCATCTGTGTTGTGCTGGGTCAATCTCGATCGACTATCATGAAGCTACTGGTGGCTCGGAGATTTTGGAAGAGAAGAAGTGTAACATGAACCTAGCCCTGGAAGAATGCGGCAACGAAATCGACAGTGGAGAGATCTATGGCGCATTCAACCAGGCTGGTCTGGCATACGGTCCAACCTTTCGGGGAATGTGCAATGTAAAATGGGACAAACACAGTCAGGCTACTGGCACGATTGGTCTCCGCGACTGGGAGGCTCAAGCAAGGTTCGACTACAGCGATACGCATCTCATTCACCCAGCTGCCCTAGACACAATATTGCAGCTGACATTCCCGGCGTATTCCATCTACGCCAAAGATTCTTCGGCGACGACGGTGCCCACAGGCTTTAGCAATGCGTGGTTCTCGGCCGGATTGGCCACCGCATCTTGCAATCGTCAAGAGGTTCACGTGCATGCCAAAGTGTCTGGACGTGGCTTCCGCAACAAGTTATTCACTGTCACAGCCGCTTTTGCCGGTACCCAAGACCCGTGTTTCTTTGGGGAACTTGAAACCTCGACAATCGGTCGCAGTGTCGCCCCCAGCCCCGAGAAGTCGCATCGCAGTCTCTATAGGATTGAATGGCAGTCAGCAGACTTTGATAGCATCGCGTTGGACTCTGAATTGCCCGCGACGTTGACATCCACCATCCGTGTGGTTTTTGATGATGCGAACGAGCTACAGACGAGCCTCGCACGAGCAATATATGAGAAATTTCTAGTGCACCATGGACCTCAGGCCCTAATACCTTGGAATGTTGCTACGGAGAGCGACGTAGCAGACACGACCTGTGTGTTCCTCCCGGGGTTGGATGGCACCTTTCTTCAATGCCTGGAAGAGGAGGACCTAGAAAAAGTCAAATTTCTTCTCGCAACAACCAAATCGCTCATCTGGGTCACATTCCAGCACCACGCTGTAAATGAGAACCCCACGGAGGGCCTAGTGTCAGGACTGGTTCGTACGCTTGCAACTGAATCCGAAGACTACAGGCTCGTAAGTGTCAATTTGAACGTGCAGAATGGGTTGGACAGTGCCTCTGTTAACATCGAAAATGTCCTCAAAGCATTATCCACCAACAAACGGATCCTGAAGACGAGTACTGCGAAATAGACGACTCGTTGTGCACTCCTCGGGTCGTCGATGACGACGAGCTTGCCAATCAAGCTCTGCCTTCTGAGCAGTCGGTACAATATGTCGAGAAGCCCTGGAGTGAATTGGACAACCCAAAGCTTACGATTGGCGCTGCTGGCATTCTCAACACTTTGCACTATGAACAGAGCTCTGATTACGACAATGCCATAGCGGCCGATGATGTTGTCGTCGAGATCAAGGCGACAGGGCTTAATGCTCGAGACCTCTTGGTCGCTATCGGACAAGTGCACGATGAAGTTTTCGGCAGCGAAATCGCCGGTGTTGTTGTTCGTGTTGGGTCGTCAAGTACCCGCTTCAAAGTTGGTGATAGGGTTTTTGGTGTAGCCACGTCTGGTGTTATGCAGGTTGTGCACTGCAAAAGTTTCCAGCTGCGCGAGATTCCAGCAAGCATGAGCTTCCATGAAGCTGCAGCTTTCCCAGTGGCATACTGTACGGCTTACTATGCACTCGTCGAGGGTGCGAGGATCAAGAACAACAACTCAATTCTTATCCACCACGGTGTGAGTGCAACGGGTCAAGCTGCAATCAAGATTGCTCAACTTTATGGGTGCACAGATGTCCTCGTCACCGTTAATTCGGTGGGTGAAGCGAACTTCCTGAAGAATCAGTGTGGTATTCTAGAATCACACATCTTTATTGCTGAAGAGCGAAACTTGGCACACAGAATCTGCCATTTGACTGATGAAAGAGGTGTAGATGTTGTTCTAGGCAGTCCTGGGGTTTTGCAACAATCGTGGCCATGCATAGCACCATTCGGCCGCTTCATCGACATAGGAGAAAAGGATGTCTTTGTCTCTACGGCAAATGGTTCCAAGCAGATTGCGATACCACCATCGACGCAGAACATAAGCTTTACCCGCGTAAACTTCCAAGAGCTCGCACAAAGCACTATGTTCACGGGCATTTTCGAGCAAGTCCTCTTGCTGATTACGGATAGCAACGTGGGCCCACCTCAACCACTCACTGTTTTTAAGCAGAGCGAGATTGAGCAAGCGTTCCGAGCTCTGCAGGAAGAAAAACTAGTTGGCAAAGTCGTGGTAGAGATGAAGGGCGAAGAGCTTGTTGAGATGGAAGTTGCGCCAAACGCCTCCGAGCCACTCTTCCGTGCAGACGCGAGCTACCTTGTCGCTGGGGCATTCGGCGGTATAGGCCAAAGCATCACCCGGTGGATGGTTGAGAACGGTGCTAAGCACTTGATTTTACCATCAAGATCGCTCGTCGAAGGAACAGATTGTGTGCGTTTGCAGTTCGTAAACGAGCTTCGTACGCAAGGCGCCATCGTTCACGCTCCAGTGTGCGACATTGCAAATGCATCTCAACTCGAGTCAACGCTCAATTCTCTCTCCTCAATGCCCGCGGTTGCAGGCTGCATTCAAGCCGCAATGTCTATGCACGATTCGTCCTTTGCGAAAATGACCATCGCACAATGGCACGAATCGCTCGCTCCAAAAGTGTCCGGGTCCTGGAACCTGCACACGCTTCTTCCGCGGAATTTGGACTTTTTCGTGATGCTCTCTTCTTCCACGGGAATCATGGGTTCCTTTGGTCAAGCAAACTACACAGCAGGTAACACATACCAAGATAACCTAGCTTTGCATCGTATGCGCAACGGCCAACGCGCTCATACGCTTGCTCTAAGCATGGTAACAGGCGTCGGCTATGTTGCGCAAAACGAGCAAGTTCAGTCCCTACTGCGCGTTCGCGGCATGCTAGAGGAAGTCAGTCTCAATGACATCTATGCGCTCCTGCGCTTCTGCTGTGACGCCGAACGCGTCGACGCCAGTACGATTGGCCCGAATATCATAACACCTCTCACTCTCCCCGCAGACCTGCGCGCGTTGAACATCGTTGCGCCGCTCGGCAGTACACGCCCCATTTACCACTATCTTGACACTCTTCCTGCGCGCATCAAACCCTCACCTACTGCACAAAATAGCACGTCACACCTTCTCTCTTCTGCCACATCTCTCGCACAAGCAACCGACATTGTCGTCTCGGCCATTCAAACACAACTTTCGAGTCTCCTCGTCGTCGCCAAAGAGGACATTGATCCGCAAAGGGCGATCTATCGGTACGGCGTAGACTCGCTGGTTGCAGTTGAGATGCGGAATTGGTTTAGCAAAGCCGTAGGTGCGGATGTGGCGACGAGTGAGATTATGAGCGATGTGAGTATTTGGTTGTTGGGCGTAAAGGTCGCAGGTAAGAGTAGATTTGTTGCAGAGGGAGTAAGGGAGGGGACTTGAAGAGGGTGGTGATGGTCGTGTTCATGGGTACATGGTCGTCGGAAGCAAACCGACACGCCATGTTTGTCCATGCACGACAAAGTCATAAACATGTACTACTCGCGAATATGTATTGCGGTACATGAATGGAAGCACTGAGCCTTTGTGATCGTGAAAACCCCATCGGTTACATAAGAAAGCCGACAGTTAGAGCAGAAAACGACCTTGAAGGGGTGGACAGACGGGACTGTAGAAAACACCCCTTTTTTCCATCTAACACGTCGCTGCGAGCCTTCCCTATGTATTGCGGCATAAGAACAAGAACTTTGACCCTTTAGAATCACGATGCAAGTGGCAGCTACATAATGTCGAACTACAAAAAGGCCGACCTTCCGGCAGTTGTAGCATGAAGGTATATATAGTGGATAGTCTGACACATAACATAATGCAAAGTGGGCGGTGAGGACCTTTTCGAACAGTTCACTGTTGTGACTGCAGCAATCAACACTTGACTCAATACCTTCCCAATTAGGCAGTCGAGGTCAGAAAAAAGTTTTATATTTGAGCAGTGGAACAGAATATTTGAGCCTCCAGTATCACGGCACGCTCATCAGATACATAGTAGAACGTGGTGTGGAAGTGGAGAAGTCTTGAAAATGGTGTATCGGGTTGGGAAACTGCAAAAACTACTGGAATCAACACTTCCTAATTAGGCAACTTTGTGAGACAACCTTTCATCTTCAATCACGAAACGAAGCACGGGGAAAGAATTTTCAAGCCTTTTTTGTTCAGATAATTGTACTCGGAAATATAGCAGAGCATGTTGTGGTCGCTGAAAATGGACATGCAATGTTCGCCATGTCTTGTGTTCAAAGCGAAGTTCTGTGCACGTGCCATAAATTACATGACAACGTTCCTATGCGAGTTCCACACGAAACAGACTTACTCTTGCTTCAACAATGTATTTGAATAATAGGGTATCTTCTGATTACAAAAGGTGCATAGCATCCATCCAAGCGAATCCTTCGAATGAAAAGTCGAAATGATATAATCATGGAAACATCTTACAACAGCCACCGCCGCCACCATGTCTTCTAGACAACACCCGCTTCTGCCTTTCGCCCATCGATGCTCAAACTCCTTCCAGTCTTGTGTTCTACAGCTCCCAATTCTAAAGGCTCCCCGCCGACTTTCGTGCTGTCCGAACCATCTGCGGAAGGCCTCGTCGGAATCTGCAGCTTATCCCTATACCCATGTTCCCCACGTTCCACTGACGTGATGGGCGCAGTACTCATCCTGTTCATCGTTGCACCTCTTGCGTGACCGTCCACGCTCCTTCTTGCATTGCCCGGATCCAGAACCTTTGTCGATGCATCTGCATCAACCTGTTGTCCTGGTTTCTCATTTGGCGCCCACGTACTCGCTTTGCCGTGTTCGTAAGATCGCTTCGGGTCGCGTTTCGTGGTCTCAGTGCTTTTCCGACCCACCCGTTGGCCTTCTTTCACATCACCACGACCGGTAAGAGATCCGATGATACCGTTCTTATGCTGCATTTTCTCCTGTGCTATAGTCTGTTGGAGGGCATTCCAGCGTATGGTGACGTTTTCTTCCACTTGGCGCTTCCCCTGGGTCATTTTGTTGTTGGTCCCGTGTTGGTCTTCCTGGGCGACTGCGACGCGCGATTCAGAGTCGAGCATTTGGAGTTCCTGTTGACCTTCGGCAATGCGGGCTCGGCGGAGATAGTTGGTCGGTTGGTAGCGTTTCATGTATTCTGCATCAAGGCCCTTCATGGTGTACGCCAAGGGACCCATGAAGGCTGCAATGTCTTTAAGGACAAAGCCGCCGATGCCGAAACCAACACCTCGGAGGGCGCCTACAAGACCATTGTTCTTGGCGCCATTGTAGGGTTGAGTGACGAGACCTGTGACCCCATCCATGACACCATATACAAGCTCATCGCGGCCAGCACGGGTGCCAGAATGGAACCCGGTGACCCGAGGGGGACGGCGGACCGTCTCGTCGCCGTATAGACGTGGGGCGTTGTGGAATCCTTGTGTGACAGCAAGAGTCAAGTTCATCGGAAAACGAGCAATGGCATGCCCAGTCTTCCTGAACCCAAATGCAGCTTCGCGCCCAAGCTCATCAGCCAGCTCTTCTTCGGGTTCCGAAATCCTGGAAAGCGTCGTGTTATCGCGAGTAGGTTTCGGTCGACCGCCCTGTTGTTGTTCCCCTCTTTCCACTGCGCCCTCGGGTGAGTTGCTGTTCGCCTTGGAAAGTGTCGCCTTCTTATGCTCATTTCGCTTCTGAACGATGCGTTTCTTTGCTTTCAGCTTCTCCCTCTTTCTTATGCTTTTGCCCATCTCGACGGGCATACCCCCAACGCCAGCTGCTGCGTCTGAGAACGAGGACATCAGACTACCCCAGACACCTGTAATGGGCTCGCCGGGCCCGCCAAAGTCGTTCCACTCATAGTGCCGAACAAGACGTAGCTCGCTCCATTTGAGCTTCTTCTTCTCGACAAGGATCTCGGCCGCCAGCGCAGAGAGTTTGACATTCGTGTTCTTGATTTTCCAAGCCGCAGCGCGATTGTCGAGGAAATCGCAACGCATACTTCCCTCTCCTTGGAGCGGCAAAGATCTGTGGAATGAGCGCACAGCATTGAGGGCACCATCACCTTCCTTTGCGATGCTGTCGGCAATTTTCTTGACATTCTCCTTGGCCTCATCAGTGAGACACTGCTTGATACCCTCTGCCAAACGCTCGGCGGTAAGTTTCTTGTAGGGTATGCATTCGTGCGCTCCTGCCTTGGCCTTGCTGACCATCGCGCCCCAAAACGGTTGATCGCCAAAGAAAGGCACGATCATGGTCGGTATCGCACACTTGAGACCAATGGCGGTTGTTCCAGCACCACCGTGGTGTATGACAGCACTACACCGAGGGAACAACCAGTCGTGCGGTGTGTTTTCGAGCATGAAGACGTTGTCGGGACAGTCCGCATTGGAACCGAAGCCACCCCAGCCTTTGGATACCAGAGCGCGACATCCAACCATCTTCACAGCCTCAAAGATGAGATTGGTAAATTGGTCAGGGTCATCGACCACGATCGATCCGAAGCCAATGTACACCGGTGGCTCGCCATCATCCAGAAACTTCTTCAGCTCGTCCGGAGGAGTGAAGGAGGAGGCGAGATCCAGGAAAACGAAACCAGAAATGTCAATCTCTGGGCCCCAATCCTTTGGCTTGGAGATGAGACCCGGTGACCACATGTAAGTATACGGCACTTTCAGTCTGTAGAGCTGACCTGGCGCCCACAGTCTGCTGACTTCTTCGAGATGCAGAACCTGAGTTCGAAAGCGGTTTATGAGATCACCGAGGCCCTGCCACATCATCATCTCCACAAGTGGATAAGACATGAAATTGCTGTAGGTGGCTTCGACGTTGCTGGCTCTAATGTTGGCAAGAGGGTGGGGAAACTGGCTCGTGGGTGTATAGGGAAAGCTGCGGAATGTTAGCACCAGCTCAGACGCCTCAGTTCCAATACATACGTGAACATCATATGAAGCGGTATGCCGAGCTTCTCGGCTATGTGCTGCGGTGCAAAGCTGGGTGGGTTGGCGATAATCGCGTCCGCAACGAATGGAGCCTTGTCGCCCACTGCAAAGGTTAGCGAATGCTCTGCCACGAAGAGCTCTGGTACTTACTCATTTTCGCGTTCATCTTGTCCGTCTCATCGTCGGATGCATTGATGCAAGCGCGCCACATGCCCTGGAACATCTCGTACATCTGAGCTCTTCTGCGGCCTATCTCGCCCTCCTTGATGGTGTCGATATTCGGAATCAGGCCCGGGTTCTTCACCATAAAGGCCATGAGCTCAGCAGGGTTGCCCCCAACAGAGAAAAACTCCAGCCCTGAATCCTTCTCTACAAAATCCTTGAACGCTGGGTGTGTTGCCAGCCGAACGCGATGCCCGTAGTCCTCCTTCAAGATCTTGCCTATCCGAATGAAAGGTTGGATGTCACCGCGTGAGCCGATGATGATAATCACAATGTTGAGCTTGATGCGCCTGGAAAGATCATGTTCCATTTCATCGTCTTCTGGGGCTATCTTGGTGGCGCTAATGTCGCCATAGCTCTCTGCTTCCTCGTCCTTGTTGCCATGCTTTCTAAATGCCGTGCCCAGCGCCTTTGCAATGTACCCACTGCTCAGATTCTCTTCCAGAATGCTGAGCTTCAAACGACCGTCCGCCCTCGACACTCTGCCCTTTGTATTGAAATGCTCGTTCGCGATTTTGAGGCGGGAGAATGGACCGGATCGTTCGCGCGGTTTTTGACTCGCTTGCTTCGTCAGGTCGTCGGCATGTCCTAGGCTTTTGCTGGGGTATATTCTTTCGTCGTCGGAAGAATCGGACGAGTCGGAGTCTGGGTCAAAGGTAATGGTAGCAGTGCGGTCTGGTTGTGCAGGCCTTTTTTTGCGCGGACGTTGCGTTCTGCCCAAAAGTGTGTGCCTCACCGAGGGCTTTGGTCGCTCTGTCGCCCATCGCTGCTGTGTTGGTCGCGAATGTGGCGCGAAATAATCCTGGGCATTTCCCATGGAACCAGAAGGGCTTTGCGGTGTCTGGTCTGCGTGTTTTGGAGGCGCCATGTCTGTGATGTCCGTCTTTTTCATGGATGTGGGCGTGGAAATCGGTTCTTGACCAAGAATATTGGGGAATGCCGGCTCCTCAATCACCATGCCGACGGGCGAAACGACGCCTTCGTCCTTGCGCTTAGGAGAAGGGTCCGCCATGATGTTGTGGAACGGTCCGATGTGTCGCGCAGTCTGGATCCTGGATCGCGGGTGTTGACGGTGTTAGTGACGAGGTAATGATACAAGAAAGGGCGAGCGCAAGCGCTATCCTTGAAGGAACCAGACTTCAGCTGCAAGCGCCAGAAAAGTGTCCGGAAACGGCAACGGCGTCCAAAAGAGTGTGATGGCGTTAATGCACATGCGCAAATAGCGTTGGATTGTTGTCAGGAACCGGCGGCATGACATCACATCCAAAATTTGCGGACCAGAGCGGGAGAGCTAACCCAGTCGGCAGACTTCCACAATCCCAGCACCAGTGCCAGCGTGCCAGGGCGTTGGAATGCCGAGGTCGCACGGCAAGGATACGAACACGAATGCCGTGTGCCAACATATGGCTTTCTCTGACTAGGATGACGCCACCATGCGACTGTGCTATGTGAGCCGGATATATGGTGCAATTTGACTGCCATTGCGCATTTGACAACGAAAGCCCGAATGCGTCTGGCCGATAGAGCTCAGAGCCCTCACTGACCCTATTGTGGAGCTTTAGCTTCGTAGCTTTTCCGCATAGTCAGTTCGGTGCGCCGTGGCAGCTCCGCCAGGCCTTTAGCTACTGATCGCCAGATGCTTACCATAGCAGGGACAACGTCATCGCTATGTACAAAAGGAACAGGCACATAGTGGCCTTTGTACGCTACTATGTCAAGTATTCTATGACCTTGGTATACAGAAACATATATAGGGACGCCACAGCAGTAGGCATGCCTGGCGACTACAGAGGTCTTGGTACACCAGTATGTCAAGTACTTCATGTCACCCAGGGGGAGCCGGTGGTAAAGTTGAAGGCCCAGAGCTGGACTCCTGGTTGCAGCTAGTGTTCACACATCCATCTTCTTGCACCTTTGTACTTAATGACGGTTGTTCGTGTAATCGCAGGTCCCAAACAAATTTTGATTGAATGAAACACGATTAGTGTGACTCAAAATAAACATGTTCATCGCATCTGGGTTATTACACCTCATCACCCCGCGTGACATGTAACACTTGATATACCAGTGTCTGGAGCTCACTGTATGCTCCAGACAGCTCCTTCAGCTCAGCACTACGATCGCAATAACTCCTCCTGCTCTTCCCTGGATATACCAAACAAGTAAAGTACGTCCAGCATACTCTTCGAGTTCAGACGAGCAGGAGCCTGCATCTGCACTTTTGTCTTTGCATGGAACGCGACACCAAGACCGGCCACGCCCATCATGGGGAGATCGTTTGCGCCATCGCCAATGCAAACGACTTGCTCGAGGAGGATGTTTTCCTTTTCTGCAATCTCTCGGACGTGTTGGCGTTTCTTTTCCCCGTGAACGATTTCACCCGTCAGTTCGCCGGTGAGCGTAATGCCGTCCTGGGAGACAACGAGATGGTTCGCAAAGGCGTAGTCGAGGCCGAGCCGTTGTCCCATCCAGCCCGTCACAGGCGTGAAGCCGCCACTGAGAACCGCCGTCTTGAAACCCAGTCTCTTCAGCGCGGTGATGAGCTCTTTGACGCCCTCGTTCAGCGTGATTCTCGACTTCAGCTCATCAAAGACGTTGCTCGATACGCCCTTTAACAGCTTACATCGCGCGCGAAGACTCTCTTCAAAGTCTAGCTCGCCATTCATCGCTTTAGCTGTAATGGCCGATACCTCCTTCTCTGCGCCAATGTGCGACGCGATTTCGTCAATGACCTCCTGCTGTATCAGGGTGCTGTCCATGTCGAAGACAGCAAGCCTCTTGTAACGCCGATATATGGTATCCGCTTGAAACACGCATTCCAAGTTCCACTTTCGCTCGAATTGTGACACAGCCTCATGTCTCCGTAATGTCTCCGGCGAAATGGACGACGGGCTCGGCAGGGGGAAGGTAACCTCGACTACCCTGCAGAGCTCGCTTGACTCCAGTCGCTTGCCCGTTATTGTGCTTTGCTGGAGACCAGCTATTATGTTTGTGAGAGCGACGAAGAAGTCTGTGAGACAGGCCTGGCTAAAGTAGCGACAGGAGAGGTTATCGAGAGCATTGGGGCCCGGCGTGGAGGGTTCGAGTGGGGAGTCTTCGAGGCTCTCGGTGGGCACATGGTCAAGCTTCAGTCGTTCGAGCGATGCGGAGGAAACTGGCGTATCGGCTTGGTAGAAGAGCGTTGCAACGATGTGGGTGAACGAAACGTCGAGGGGAGGGGGTTTGGCGGCCATGATTGGTAAAGTACTAGACGCTGTAGCTGATTCGATAGTAATGAATTTTGGGAAATTTCTCTCAAAACTCGTCGAGGTGATTATGTTGATTGTTTACACCGCGGGCGTGCAGGCGGAATAAATACACAGGGATCCAGGATTCCTGCGTTGCTCTGCCCCGCCGTGAAAACCCCAGCACAGTCACGACCGAGCAAGCGTCCGAGTATGACTTCCGACATGGTATCGTTACTTCTTGTCTCCAAACCCCCAGAACACAGAACTAGAGGAACGACCATGGTTCCATATCCCCGACGATTTCCCCGCACCCTGCAGATGGCCTGAAGGCGACCCTGGGTGGGGAAGCCTCGGCGTCTTCTAGTGCAGCATGCCTGAGCTGAATGTCGCCACGGTTAAGATGCATCGAGAATCCCAGCGCCATCAACACGTAACAGGAACTGAATCGAACCTGCTCGATCACCTCAGTCCTCGCCATGGACGATTACAAGCCCGAGAAACCGAACATCAAACAGTCGCCACCCATCGACGTAACGGTGCCATACGATGCTGCCTGGGTCAAGGACAAGGTCATAGTCATAACCGGAGGAGCGAGCGGCTTTGGCGCAGGCTTTGTACGACTATGGGCAAACAACGGCGCTGTGGTGATTGTGGGCGATATCAACGTGCAAAAGGGTGATGCGCTGTGTCGGGCCATCAACAAGGAGAGCAACACTGGTGGCAAGGCGCATTTCGTGCATTGCGACGTGACAGATTGGCAGTCGCAGGTCAATCTCTTCAAAGAGGCTGTCAAGCTGAGTCCACATGGCGGCCTGGATTGTGTTGTCGCAAATGCGGGCATAGCAGGCCCGGACAACCTCCAGATGGGCAGCGACCTTGACGCTGCGGAACCGCCTCCGCCAGTCTTCAAGATCATGGACGTAAACCTCACGGGTGTGCTCTACACTACACATCTCGCCTGCTTCTGGCTGCCCAAGAACCCAGGTTCTTCGCCTTGCAGTCTCGACGCGAAGCCTTCTACAACCTCACCGCGCGACCGCCATATCCTACTTCTGGGCTCCATTGCGTCTCTAGCGCCCATCGCCATCCAGCCACAATACTGCGCCGCGAAGCATGCCGTGCTGGGTCTGTTCAGAAGTCTGAGGGTGACCAGTGGCCTCCAGGGCATACGGGTAAACCTGCTCTGTCCGTACTTCATCGACACGCCCATTGTAACGACAGGCGCACGTTTCATACTTGCAGGCGGTGCATTGGGTCAAGTGGAAGATGTCGTTGATGCGGGGACGCGCTTCGTGGCCGACTCACGCATATTGGGTCGGGCGCTGTGTGTAGGCCCCAAGATGCATGTGCGCCAAAAGGAGAACGGCGAGTGGGAGCTATCCACCCCGGGAGCACCTGGCAGCATCGAGCAGGCTATCTTCGAGCCGTGTGCCGACGATTGGGAAGACCAGGACCAGTGGAACCGCACTTTTGTCAAGCTTTTGAACCTAGTGCAGGCTGGAAGAGGTTGGATTGGGTGGGCACAGGATATCGCCAAAGCGACACTGTACAGCGTTGGTATAGGGAGATGATGGGCCCCAACACGGCGCAAGAGTCGCGGCTGTTATCCAGCATCGTCTGGGTGACAGATTGTAGTCACAGAGTCATATAAATTTCGCCCTCCTCAACACTCCATCTTTCGCAATGCGCGTCTTCCCTATCGCCAGCAACCGTCATGGTGCCCAGCTGTGGAACCAGTGTGGATACGCGACGCGATCGTGTTTGTTTATCGCGGCATGTCCTGGTGACTGCACCTTTATGAAGGTGTTATGTGAGAAAAACGCAAGCCCATGGAAGAGATGAAGACACCGTCTTCGCAAATAGATGTTGGTGTGGCATGATGCGTGCAGCAGTTCTTTGCAGCAATGTTTCCCTCGCCGACGCGTCGCGGCGATCGTCAGCCCACGCCAAGCATCAGAAGGGGTGTCACATGCCGAACAACAGCAGTAACCTGCCTTTCTTCCCCACACCATTGCATAGAGATTACCTGCAGCTAGGCCGACGATATTTGTGGAACAAAACCTCACGTGGCCGAAGATGGAGTAAGGACCCTGCTCCCCATACCCAACTCTTCAATTGCTGAAAGTTATCCAAGCCCGACTGATAACATCATCACATAAAATATCATACACCCCAACGATGCATCAATAAATGCCCAAATACGCGTCCACCAGGGCATCCTCACCAAGAGTTCGTCATATTTCCAAAAGCAAATGGAGCCATAATGGGTCGCGCAGAGAGAGGATCCGAATGTCATCGACCTTTACTACAACAAACTCGACACGATCCACAATTACGTCCGATGGCTTTACAATGGCATCGTGCCCGTCCAGCTCTATATAGCAGACGATGATGAGGACCGCGAAACGAGGGCCGAAGAAGCAGAGAAGGTCTTCGTTCAGCTCGCATACGCATACGTCTTTGGCGAAAGAGCTTTCGACTCAAAGCATAGGAACGCGGTTATAAAGACCATTTTCGCGGCAAAGAAGTATTCTAGTTAGTAATTAGGGCTAGAGAGCGTCAATATTATATATGCTGGCACCCCGCCTAGATCCTGTGCTCGACGTTTAGTAATCGAGGACTATGTGTGGTACAGTAGTGACGAGAGGGACAAGGGGGTTGGTTGGACGACATCTTTCGGTGAATACTGTAAGGAGGCTCTGGAAGAGTGCATCAAGGGTCTCATGATGGCTCGCACCCGGCCTGAAATCAACAAATACCATCCTCTCGAGGACTACCTTGACGATGAGTGACCAAGGACCATCCTCGTCTCATAGTTGGGACATTGTGATCTGTCAGCCTGTCAAATATATACCTTCAAGCTATAATAGCAAGAAGGTCGGCCTTTTTGTTATTCCACATGATCTAAGATGAACCCGATTACAACCGTTGTATGTGTAGACCGAATGTGATTAGACCGTATCACCTGGGTATTATAAGATACTTGACAGTGTGCAAGCACTACGCGATGATCTTGAACTGCGACACTTTTGAGGGGGATAATCGCATGACCTTGTGCACGTAGTCTACAGGAACAGGCTACAGTCTCAGCGAACGACTCCCATCGCGTTAATCATGTCCTCAGTTTTGTCTTCTTTCCACCCAATACCATAACGTCAGTTCTTGCTATGAGTTGGCCAAGAAATCTACTTTCACTACTAGGCAAGGTATGAGTAAGGGATTAAAGGACAAACAGTCAAATAGACGAGCATAACATTAAGGACTATAGATGAATATTTGGAAATGCGAAATGCTTCGATTGGAATACATAATCAAAAATAATAAACAAATGAACTACCGAGCAGCCCGGACAATGCCATCAACAATGAGCCTACCTCTGCATCTCATACCACACACTCAAGCGAGTTCCTTTACTCCTTGATCCGGTCCCCACTCCGCCAACACCGTATCCTTCCGCCAATCGGCCTTCCGGAGAATGGCCGCCTCACGCCACTTCTTATGCTCCTGATCAATAGCAATCATCTGCTTCTTCAATCCCTCCTTTCCATTGCGGCTCAACCAATATTCAAAGTCCACAATATCAGGAATCTCCTTCTTGAACCGCTTGTGGCAGAGGTCATTGGCAAGATGCTTCAGGAGTGGGTTGGAGTTTGGGATGCGCGTGGCAACGGCGTTCATCTCATCCTTTGAGAGAGTTTGAGAAGAGATTGTGGAGGCTAGAGAAGTGGGGCGTCATGCGCGCTGGGAGAAGAATGAGGCGGAGCGTCAAGAGCGCCGAGCGAAGAATCAGGCCGAGCATCGTCAGCGTATCGGTGAGGAGCGGCGTGCAGCAAAAGCCCTCAAGAAGAAGCTGGACACGAAGGGCTCGGGTCTTGCCACAGTCACTCCGGGCGAAGCAGAGCTGCTTCGTGGTCATATGCCGACTCGTTAGAGACTTGTGATGAGCTTGGTGTGTGTTAGTCTACTCCCATTCACTCTTGACAACACTGTCAAGATTGTATGCAACGATGGCACTTGGATTTGATCGGAAAATATGGAGGCTCCAAGAAGCTATACAAATGGGGGACAGCAATAGTGCTTTGACAGCATACTTGGGCTATAAAGCAAGCTCTTTTAGATAGTCGTCTAATTACTTGATTGACGCTAGGCAATGTCGGAAACACTTTTCGTACTGCTGGATAGAGTCGTGATCTCAGAAATGGAAACATAATCCAATGAACAACCATAATTTCACCTTTCCTGATATGATGTATAACTCTCAAGAACGTGAATGTCTATTAAACCCAATAGTAGTAATTTACTTTCTTACTTTTGCTAGCAATATGAACATGGCGTATCCTGTATTAATTTCATCTGTCGCACAGTTCACCTAATATATTGTTCTAAAACAAATAATCTAGATAGGATCTTATGCGTACAGTTTTGTACATACACCATTGTAAGTATACCGGAGTACCCTGTGGGTTTCTTTAATCTGGATATACCATTTTTCTTCCCACACCACCATCGACAACAATCTCTTGCCCAGTAACAAACTCGTTGCCAACAAGATACTCTACTGCCCTCGTAACATGTTCCACTCTGCCAACCCTACAGACTGGATGCCATGTAGCATCAGCAGGTGTCAAGTCATCTTCCCACAGGGCTCCGCTTTCATCTGCTGCTTTGTTCTCATCCATGACGTGTATCCAACCCGGAACGATGGCATTGACTCTGATATTGTGGCGGTGTCCAAGTGATACGGCCATCGACTGTGTCAGTCCCAGAAGTCCAGCCTTGGCAGCAGAGTAGGCTTCATGATCAGACTCGGATTGGTAGGCGCGTGTAGAGGAGATGTTGATGATGCTGCCTGGGGACCGCTGCGTGGAGCGTCCGGCGGCGAGCAGCGGCACACATAGGCGGCTAAGGATGAATGGCGCTGTGAGACCGATTGCGATCTTTAAATCCCACTCTTGCTCCATCTCATCGCCCTCGGCTTCCATCCTTCGATCCTTTGAGATGACCAGGTCTGTTGGAAAAGCATTGTTGATCAAAACATCTAGCTTCCCATCAAATCGTTGCCCGACCTCTTCTACAGCAGCTTTCATCTCGTTACGCTTGCTGAGGTCGCAGTGGATTGCATGCCACCTTTCCTTGCCTCCATTTGACCACTCTTGCGCCCGGTCTTTGACGTGGTCTAGTTCTTGCTTATTTGAATCTAGTATCACGACATTATGGCCTGAGCTAAGGAGTTGTCGGAAGAGGCCACGTCCGACGCCTCGAGCACCGCCTGTGAGCAGTACCTTCAGAGATTGGGGGGCTGTGTTCATGTTGCTGAGGGGTAACAAACTAAAACTCTCGTGATGGTTTAGAGGCCGTTCTCCGAGGTAGATTCGCCTCGCTGTCGTTGTGCAAACATCGTTTTGCGTGATGTCATGGTGGAGATGAATATGTCGTGAAAATGATGATCTTGATATAACATGACTCGTACAGCTTCATTTATGCCACCCGCACTAACTTATATCTAGGTGAATACCTCGCACAGTGAAGCAAGAGACTAGTATAAGATGCACTTGAATTATTTCTAAACTAAGTTACTTATACTAAAGAGGACGCCGAGCGTACATGATGCAACAACATTGACATGTGAAACTTTCACGAGATCATGTGATGCTATGATCTCGTGGACACGTCTACATGTATCTACATGTCCAGCTTTCTACGCTGCTCTGTGATATTTAAACATTTCTGAAATCAATAACCGAGAAGATAGTTCATGTTGAGCAATGATGAATCACTTCGATTGCATTCATATCACGTGCACAAGGACATACATGTAGGGACTGGGTCATATGCTCCATAAGAATAATGTCATCGGTTACGAAAGTAAATTACAGGTAGAAGTAAAAGCAATGAAAAGAACGTCGTCTCAAATGAAGGTAATGATGGAAGAAAGGGAAATAGTCATCTCAAGTGAAGGTTCTACCGAAGGGTATGAAAGAGACTGCATCCCTAGTACAAAAGGCGCCTTAATGCCGCCCATCATCACAACCCAGAGTCAATTTGGTTCAAAATGTTCACAGCTGAGTACGCATCCCACGTATCACAAAGATCGAACTGCTCTGCTCCAAAATCCTGCTTCTTGATCTCGTCGGTATTCTCCAAAATCTGCATGAACAAGCCTCCACTTACGTGCCAAGCGAGATGGCAGTGGAGAGGCCAGACTCCAGGGTTGTTCTGCACATACTGAATCACCATGTATGAAGGCTCCGGGACGTTGTCAACAAGACGGGCATTTGCCATCAAGTGCGTGTCACGACGGATGGTGTTTCCAGAGTTGGTAACGACACCGTCCCACTCACCATGGCCTTCAGCAAGGACATGAAAATCGTGGCCGTGAAGATGCATAGGGTGACCACCAATCATGGCATGGTTCACAAGAACAATACGGACGTGCTCGGCGTTAGGGAACTCATAGACGTTCCACTCGGGCTTGAAGTCGGTCTCACCAAGCTTGGCCTTGAGGAGAATGGGCGCGTTGTAGTCGCCGCGGTATGGACTGTTGTTCATGAACCACACAAAGTGCGAGCCGTTGGACTGAAAACGCATGTCAACGCGCTCGACATGCTCAGGTTCCTCCACGGGGATCTGGCAAAGCGGGATGCCGAGGGTGATGGGGTCGTTCTTGCACTGCTCAAGTTGTTCCTGGGTGACGTCCGAGGTTGATTCTGGAATTGCTTCGGTGTCCGCATCTTCGTAGTAGACTGCCGCAAGAGCGTTCGGTGAGATGCCGTCGGTAAGAGTGCAGCGGAAACCCTGGGCAAGCTGGGAGCGCATCCAGAATGTGTCACCGGGGTTGCCGATTGCCTCAACAATAACGTCGGTACGCTGACCAATGGCGAGTGTGACTACGTTGGTCATGTACGGCTCGACCGGGATGAAGTCAAGAGCAATGACCTTCAACATGTGTCCGTCAATGCTGAACTTCTGGTTTCCTTCAGCACCTGCATTGATGAGACGTAGCAGATGTTTCTTTCCAGACTCAAATTTGAACTTGGATATGCCGGCGTTGGGTGTGCAAGGAAGTGACGTCTCGTCGCAGGGGTAGTTCATGCGCCCGTTGATCAAGTTGTTATTCGATGGCGAGATTCGTCCGTTCATGGTAGCGTTGACTAGAGTGTAATAATCGGCATGGAACCAATCCTCGACGATGATTGGACCGACATCGATGTCGTATTCTTCGTGCTTGGGGCCGTGGATAACGAGGGGACCGTGAGCACCGCCGGAGTACTGGGCGCTATAATGACCTGACCATGTTAAACTTGTTTTAACAATAGCAAGTGATGAACTCACTGTGATACCAAGAGGTACCATAACGGTCGGCACGGAACAGCATCTCATAGTAGCCACCGTTGGGTGTGACTGGGCATTGGCCAACAGCTGGCACGCCATCATACCATGGCGTTTCCATCTGTAAGAGTCCGTGAGCGTGAAGAGTGGTTCCCTCGTCAGTAAGATCGTTAGTGACCCTCCACAAGATCCAATCACCCCTAGAACAATAATTAGCACTCATACTACAACGATCGAAGACAGTACGTACCAGTTCGCCTCGACAAGGGGGCCGGGAAATTGACCATTGATAGTGAGACCGTTCCTTGTGACACCATCGGGAGCGATGGTCTGGTACGCCACATGAAGATCATATGTCCTCGTCACGCCAGTATCGGGCATAGAGTGACAATTGGGATCCGCTGTAGGGGTGCTGGCCGGGGTAACAATGGGTGATTGGGATACGATGTGTCCATCAGAGTGAATAGGTCCACGCGAGTAAGTATTCGAAGCATTCCCAGAGTAAGACATGTGACAGATAAGTCGGATGTGGTAAAAGGAAACTTTTTGGCCTGTTGG